TACACTTGAAACACTGCAGAAACGTGTATAAGTCGAACATGATTTTTACTGCATAAAGATTTAGCAGCAAGGAGATCTTCAAATACGCTATCAGAACAGAGGGTATTTGAAAAATACTACGTTCTTCCTTCTAAGCCTACCTATAAGGTTTTTATTCTTGAGTCGACTAAATCACATTTGTATTCTTAGCACCAAAAGATGTCTTCTCCAAAGTTTGATGACCCGTTTAACCTTCTTCTGCCCTTCAGTCTGGTAACTAATGAAAATTTTGTAGATATGATTTTTCTTTAGGTCATTGTTGTATCATAATGTAAACTCACACAGTGATTTGGGTTGGTTGCCCATTACTTAATACTGACCATCATGTTCACGTTACAATTGTAATATCAATTATAGTGCGACAGGCCTTCTGAGACGACTTCGTATACTGCTTCTTTATGCTTTTGATAGTTTTTTTTGAGAAGCTTCGCGAGGCTGTAACTAACGGTTGAACAGCGAACACCCGATTACCCGATTACCGCCAGTCAGTACTCGCCACTCACAATGTTGGCGAACGGTGCGGATGACTCTCATAATGCTCTAAAAGCAATGGAATTGCCTAGAGTTATGAGACTTGTGCGATATCTATTTGATCGCTACGGATGTCGAAAACAGAAGAAAGGGGATAAACGTTCGCCAGCAACTGGCTTCCAATAGAAACAATACATTACATGGAACTTCTAAACACGGGATATTTACAAACATATATTTTCACATTATAAATAGTACAAAAAATATAAGAATAATGACAGTTTTACCAATGCTACTATTTAGATGTATAGTTTTCAAAGGCAAATTGCTCTTATGTATAGCAAGGGCAGTCGGTTAGATATTACGTCCAGTGAATTGCTTGAAATAACCTGAACTGCTTGGAGTATCGAAGTAGTTACTCGTTTTTTCTTATCAAAGATAAGGAAATTCATTCATTAGAGTACATCGGTAGTCCAAAGATGACCATTTTTGCATTCTATAAAATCATATTAAAGATATTGTTACATTTATTTTAGAAAAAAGAACTGATCAAGCTAAATAAGCGTTTACTGTGCATATAACACTGAGGCAGAATAAGGGCACGCATAGAGGAAAACCGCGCACACTTTACCAATTTGTCCTCGTCTCTAATCTGCAGGACAAACCTTCAGTCAGCCTGATAATAGATAATTTTTTATCTATTATAAGGCTGACTTTTAAAAAAAAACTTTACAAAGATAATAAGCTATATTTTTGCTTCAAAAAAGCTTCCACCAGCGTTTTAAAAGAAGTGAATTCAGAAAATTAAATGTAACAAAATTTATACACATCTTTATCACAAAATGAATACCTGAATCTATCATGGCTATTTTAACTAAGAACGATTACTACCCAAGTATTCGAACAATAATTCTATAACATTATTTTTACTTATCTGTCTTGCTTGAAGTTTGCTAACTTTTCTATAGATTTTATTAGTCCCTACACTCTATCAAAGATATTATTTGATTTCATTTAAATTTTTACATGCACTTTTCACTTGCTGCAAATATTTATACGCTTCGTGGTTACTATGAAAAGAAAACAATTGGCGAAGTTCGTATTGAAAAGCGCCAAGCCTCAAAGTGAATTTGAGCGTAGCTAGGTGAGACAATATAAATCTCGATACCCCGAAGACCCCGTATGATTTTTCAAGTAATCAGATCCTTTAAAAGGGGATGGGCTTGTGTTTTAGGGGAGTTCACTGTGAACGTAGATAAATTCTAACATGGGAAGATTATATAAAAACCAAATAAACAATAGCGAGGTATATATTGATGAATGAAAAAAATGCATGTCAAATAATGATAGAAATTGCAGAATAAACATTTAGAGAAGGGCACTATGTGATTGTGATGGAAAATTTTTGCACAAGCAAATGATTGGATAAAACTATAGGAAAACGTTCGCTATCTCACATCATGATTTGGAACTTCAATGCATGTATCAAGCTGAAACGGTGCGTGTTGCGATATTCGGAGGCACAGTTTTTTCATTGCCGCGTCAATTCATTAAGAGGATTTGTTTCGATCCCGTCGAAGAGCACCCGCCCGAGTTTTTTTTTTTTTTTTGATACTTTAAGCTCGGAAACAGCTTATAAATGAAGTCTAAAAATTCTGTGTGCGCACATTTTCGCTAGGAGAAAGGATCCTCCTTGCTGCTTAATGATTAAAAAGGACCAAAGTCAGATGCAAATAAATCTCAGAAATGCCCTGTTCAGTTAACTTAAATGGAATTTCAACATTTATGATTATTTTGATTATTTCGTTTCTGCGTCATGATAAAGTGATAATAGATTTTATATAACACCCACAGGTTGCAATTTTGTCTTGCGACTTTGCGCTTAAAAGACCCTATATATATATTAGAGGATATTTTTAAAAGAGGGTCGTTAACAAACTCGGGGTGGTGTTAAAGGCGTATGCAACAGAGAGAACTTCCGCCATACTTATCGAAATACCTAATAATTGGAATTTATCAGCACGGTCATCTAAAATGATAAAGACATGTTTTATTAAGGTAGCTTTGCTTGCATTTAATTTCAACAAACCATATATCTCGTTGTCATTATATTTAATAACTTATCAAGCTAAGTACACAGTTTATCTTTGATATTAAAAAAGTGTATGCGAAGTTCTTCCTAACAGACATGTAAAATGTTCCTTTTGTCCAATCTTTCGATGTTTTTATTACAGTTCCGCTAACAGCTCACAATTTTAGTGCAGCTGTGTTGTTAGCGGGTGGCCGAGTGTCGGTTCTCCCAGGGCAGCCAAGACCAGGTCAATGGGTTGTTCTTTAAGACAAATGAAATGTATTGTCAGCCGTCATAATGTTCTCCTGCTGTTACAGATAACAAACAAAGCTTGATATCTTCTTTTGCTCAGTGGCCTCTTCCCGCCGGCTGAGCGTTATCAAATAACACTTCTTTTAAGTCAACTGAATCTGCATTAGTAGGTTCGTCGTCACAAAAGTGTCCACAATAGCCATCATGTGGCTGACATTTATGAGGGTGAATGGCGACAGATGAGTCCGATAATATGTACACTATTAAACATTCATTAGCGGCAACCGAAAAAGATCGGCTCACCATAAAAGGTCTAGTTTAACGACAGGATGTTGTAACCTAATTTTTTATCTCTTTGTAGCGACTTACAGTCTAGCAGTGTATTGTCTTGCATGATGTTGCCACTTTCCAGGGATACGTTCGCGTCGCAGGACACAGGCGCTCTTTCTTAACAGTCGAGTTGATGGTGTGAGGGTTCAAGCCGAGTTCTCTTCTGCTATCTTAGCCTAACCCGAAACACCGGACAACACTGACGATGAGCTCTGAGTCGAGCTACATATGATCTTTTTGTTAACTAGTGCACGAATATATAATCAACTCCTCCCAAGGCCTTACTATCCAAAAATATTAACTATCCGCTTTGAGATATGGTCAGGTTGTTGCTAATACTTATCAAGAAACTCTGGAATCAGATCGAATTGAGATTTACCGAGTAACTGCATCCACGAAGCATTTTCAGCATTTCGCTAAACAAACCGTATCATTCATTGCAGACGCGAACAGCTTGTGCTAAATTCAGCCCCTGCATTTTGCAAACGTGTTCTTCATTTCCATTTTATCGGATGATTGACTCTTTTGAAGTTTAGCTTGTTCTCTCTTCATATTAGCCCTTTCAATGTAGACATTTTGAAATATTTACGACGATTTCATCAGCTGAATCAATATACGTATCGAGTTTTGCATATAGCTATTAGAAACAAGAGTATCTTCCGCAAAAATTGCTTATGACGATCTAAAATTGATTACATGTAAGTTTCTGCGCAGAGATTACACAAGCCAGTCTAATCGTATCTGAGCCAATGTAATGGCAGAGATTTCTTGAGAAACTTATATAAAATATGAACGACTCAAATTAATTATTTCATACACAAATGACAATCGGACTTTGCGCAATTTGTAGGAACTGGTCTAGCATACTGAAATAGCTATGGCAGTCTTAAAACGACTGGTACGGGTCGCAGAGCGTATATATAAGCGGGTATAACTTTACTTAACTCACTTATGAATCTTTATCATGTCCGCATATGTCAGATCAGAGCATTTCTTGTCTTGAAGATCTATCAACAAAGATATCATCAAAAAGCTCGCAGCGCGGATGACCAAGAGAAGATAAGGAAAAATGGCACAAGCGGTTACTGGCCGCTAGGAATAGCCACCAATACGGAGAAATACTTTGGAGATGTTTCCTATTGTTATCGGAGCATGGTCTGTACCTACAAGCTTGAACAGCCTGTATTAAGTTGGAGAAGTAAAAATATCTGGGTAAAACTATGACGACGTACGTTCCGTGCTGGAAGCCAGCCATCTGAAGTGAGATTCGAAAGCAGAAAGCGGACGCGAAAACTTGGCGATGGAAAACGCATCGAAGAGTGCGTCTGAGAACGCTATATTTTCAACATAATCTGCCCTGCATTTTCGCCCTCTTGACTAAAACTCGCGCAACACATTTTCCGACCATTGTTTATAGCTTATATTTCTAGTGCACACACATAGAACTATCAAAACATTTTACACTACAAATTAAAAAGCACAATATTACAAGACTACGTAATTGTATTACCGGTACGTAGTTGTGTACTACCTACTACTAATGTTTCTTAATCGAAGAAAATTTGGCTCTGAGCAACTTAAGTTTCAGCGGTCTTAGGACGTGATCCTAGCAGAAAAGCAAGAACATTTCATAGGGTAAAATCAGCTATTTCTTTACAGCTATTTATTTAGTTAAAAACTGTATTTTGTTAATGATAATTTATACATACGCATGGATCTTTTAATCAATAAACCAAGTCATTTTGGTATCATTTTCGGGCTTGCAAGTCATCAAACGCATATAAATACGTTGTCGATGATTTGACATAATAATTAAATAATTACCACTACAGTGGCTTTGAGGCTTATATAGTGCATAATATCCAGTAAATAAAATAGGCGTTGGCTCATATTTTTCAGCAGGCACAATTGAGATAATAAATATGTTATAGTTCTACGAGATTATTTTGACCTCAAGGTAAAAGTGCTACTGTAAAGATGAGAAATGCTGCCTATTGTTATCTATCTACCTGCGTTCTGCAATGATAGCTGCAGAATTAGGATTAATTGCTTTAAACGATCAAAATAGAATATGTCCTGTTGCCTATTTTTTTTTCAATTTGTGCTCTCCGCGAAAAAAAAAACTCAGGGCTAAGATATAAGATACCAGCAAACAGATAATCGCGTTAGAAGCTAATTCTTTCTTATTAATTTTCATTTAAGCTTGGTTTGATTTAGATCGCGTACCAACCTTTCAAAAGCATTATCGGGTGAGGGTGTTAAAGATCTTTCAAATGATTTGCGATTAAGGATAAACAATAGATTGGCTTTGCGAAATAAAACTTGATATTATAATTCATATATGTACAGGGTAAACATGTGCATGTTGCAGTTGGAAGTGTACACAGCAATGTCTTATGAATCGTGCGATACTAATATATTGTGTAAATTAAGCTCGCACGGGAATTTGGGTCTTTGCAACCATGACTTCCCGTTCAATGGCGGTAAATTGCTTTATTTTTGCTGCCGGGATAATTTTCTTCAAAGATCATGACAAAATTGTAACCAGTTATCTACTCATAGTATGAACTGTAAAAAATGTTTACTGATTATAGCTACAATCAGTATTCGTTTGTGTTTCTCGGCTTTAATGATAGAGATCAAGTGCCTGACTGACAAATCCGAAAACAAATAACAGGCCACCATACTAAAAACCACTACGTTTGACAGTAGAAGCTTACAAGGAAAAAACGTATATTTTGATTTCTAATAATAATAACAGTAATAATAATAATAATAATAATATATATTTCCTATTTTGATATATCGTTGCAGCGAGATGTTTGTATTATATTCGCGTATAAAGCTTCGCGTTTAAAAGAACTGCTTGGTATGTTATCTAGATATTGTTATATAGATACGACGTTCTCATAATTTATCAAATTTTTTGTATAAGCTTCTAAAGCGAATAGTATGCTACCTTTCAATAAACTCTGTCCGCCAATTCGATGGTTGCTCCACGAACTACACAATTTTGTGACTGGCGAGGCCAAGTCAACCTTTTTTCACCTTCCTATAAGGAGACACAAACAATAAAAATTTGGGTTGAACATCTGTGTTCGTCAAATTTCTACTCTGTACATTCTTGTGCATAGAGAGTAATAACCCACTATTGTGTATAACTTGTTTAATTTTCTAGGTCTTTGTGAACTGATGACAATCAGTGCTCGCTTTAGTTTTGATTTATATTTTTTTTCTATTTATATTTTCTATTTAAGGTCAAAGTTTTTTGTGTTTCACGTTTGACAAGTAAGGCAACGGGTCCCAACACAAAACAAAATACACCTACACCTAGATTCGAAAATAGCCCATCACCTGGGCAATTTCTACAAGCGAATGCGTTACCCACTGCACTTTACTTTATGCCCCTCTCCGTTTCGAGGTAATCACATTTGAAATCTGGCGCTATAGCTGCTCAGTGGCCCGTAATCATTCTTTCACGCTCAGCATCGTCCTCTTTCTCGAAGTCTTTCCACAAGATGGCCGCGCGCATGGAACAGTTTCTCTTTGTCTGTTATTGAACGTCGCACTGGAGCAACTATCGAACGTGCACAGAGGTTTGTCAGCCTTGAAAGTCCTATAGAAGCAATTTGCTCTCAGAAACACTCGAAGGTGTTTGCTTTTGGGGGGTGGATTCAATACGCTGGGCGTGTATACCTAGCTGACAGTCCAGACGATTCTGATAAAAACAACGTCCGTTATAATCTCCGTTGCTCTAGGCGGCAGAAAATTCATATAGACTGTCACAATGGTCCAATACCGGCGTATCCTCGAATACACCATTGTCTGCCTTGGGTTTGTGTGGAGCTCGACACTGTCCCACCTGGGTGGAGTACCAACGTGGGGCATGCCATTGTCATTTGCCCTAGTACTCGCTGGGCTCTTTCATCAGCAATGCAAGTATCCAGCCGAACCAGGTGCGCGACCAGGCGCCGACCGCGGCCTTTGGATGGTGTGCTGTTTTCCCTACGCCATCTACTCGGGTGGTAGTCTAATTTTCCATGGTGATGTTTTTCGGCTGATTGAAATTGCTACCGGACACACGTTGATCCTGTCACTAACGACAGTCTGGTACGCTCCGTCATCGGCCCGGGTTATAGCCTCATCGTCCGTGCTTACCCTGTTACTTACCGCAATACTGACACCGTACTCGCTCATTAATTCGTTGCTAACGTCAATTGTATGCTCATCAGTGTTCTGCTATTCGCGAGACAAACTCAAAATTCATGCTCCCACCTCGTTTACCGATGGCGAGCTCATCACGATCGTTCAAGCAATTTCAGTGTTTGCGACCTCATCGGTGATCTGTTTCTTTTCGACAGTTCAAGTCTCGAAATCGGCTTCTTTCCTACAAGGTGGCTTGTGCGCCCTAAGTTTACTCATTTTTGTACTTTTTCGTTTTCCATCTACACGGTCAAGTATCCTTACGTTACTTGGCACCGTGTTTGTCACGTGCAGCTTCGTACTCTATCCACTGGTATATTGGGCGGTCGGCGAGCCCCCTGCACAATTCCTGGTGACGTACCTGACAGCTTCTGGACGAAGAATCGCACTACTTGGATTCTGGCTAGGATTGTCTGTAGCGGCTATAGCATTCGCGGCGATATACGCGCGAATGATGCATGGAACGACGAAAACGACCATAAGGAAGGTATGAAAATATTTTTATTATGTATAAGTGACGTCTTCTAGATTACACAAAACAGTTCAAACGATAATATGTAAATGTGCACTTGGTAGCGGTAAAAACAAATGTATATACAATATATAATAAATGGAAACTTTGTTTGCGAAACTGTCACTGCGTGGACGACCCCGTCGTTTCAGGTTGTATACTTCATGAAATCATAGTACAGTGAATTACAGGTGTATAGCCTGTTTACACTATTGACTCATGAATACTTATTAATAATGTTGCTTTAACGCGTGCGTACACATCTGGTGTTTTACAACGATGTATCTTGAACAAGATACATGGTTGTAAATTAACTTGAACGAAACTTATCCCGTGTACGATATATCAGGCTACTGGTTCTCTCCAACGAACTACAAATTGTATTGATAAAATACTCGAAAACGGAAATATTTGAAATGTGCCATTGGCCATCTTTACAGTAAGAACGGGCCTCCAAATATACATGAATTCCGGGCGACGATAATTCTTCGTCGTATTTCGACGTTTTAGACTCAAAAGATAGACAGGTGCCGCTTGGAAAACTCACTGAAAGATTGTTTTTTAATTATATTATTGCTTTAATATGCATAATTTCCAAAACCGTATTTTAATTCGTATTTCACCCCCTTAAAGCAATTTAGAGTTCGATTAGTTAGTCGTTTCGGTGAGGGGTGCCAAATCTTAAAAAACTACGTAGCTTCTTTTATTCTTTCAAATTCAATATAATTTACCATCATTTAGTCAAACAGTAGACTCATAGGGAAGGAATTCTCAGAAGAAATATTCTACAGAGCTTTTTACTAGAAACAGTTGGGACATACATTTAAAAACGTTTGGAGAGTTAATGACAGGCGAAATCACATTCTGAACTTCCTACAATTAAATATATTAGGAAACCATATCATACTCTTGTTCAACCTTGGATAACCGAACCGCTTATCCACCTCCAAGGTTAGTAGAAGTTGTATTGAAAAAGTGTAATTAAATATATATATTTACTCTCTGTAATGATTTCAACATTTGAAAATCAGGCTTATTCAGCTTTAATCTCATCTTTTTTTCGAATGCTACATCCCCCTAATAGACGTATTGTACAATTTGCATTGTATACTATCCGGTGCCTATTTTCAACTTTGGCTGCTGTATTTCGTAGGATCATGGACATATGATATTTTCTTATAAATATAGCTCAAATTTTGCCCTTCCTACATTAAAACATCTGGAAAATAACAGTAGCTTTCGGGACACGGCTTATGCGCTTGTTAGAATCCGTATATAGCAATACTTCGAATTTCAAGTTTACAAGCGGTATTGATTTCCGGCTTATGGTGTCGGATTTTTTTTTCTTTCGGATAGTTTTTGAAACTGAATTTCTTATATCGTTACTAAAGTTTCGAGTTTGTTAATCTCAAAAACCTTAGTAAAATTATATCCTCAGTCAGGCAGAAGCTTTATTTTGTTCATTCAAAAAAAAAGTGAGTTTATTCAGCTCATTGAAGGTTTGCCTACGAGTGTTGGTATGCATATTGTAATAATAATAAAATAATGAAAAAAATTTGAAGTAGAGTATACGAAGCGTTAAAATCTCAAGCATTTCGTACACTGTACGATAAGCCGATGTATGGTGGCGTTACCAGTAAGTACCAGAGTGACCTGGAAGATAAGTTAGCACGTGGCATAACTTAGTATGATAGAGATAGAGACATTGTTAACACTGGCGAACGTTACGCGGCTACGAGGCTGAGCGAGCTCATCTAACGACATTTGTAGTAGCGCCTAGTGAGGTATTCCATGCTAATGGTCGATCAGAAAAAGCTCATACTTCAGTGATCGAAAAGATTAGCTAAAGATTTATGTCATCTCATAATTATAATAGTAAGTTAATAATTATGATAGTAAGTTAATATTAGTTTGATTCCCGTCGTCCACTTCGCTAAGGCAAAATTAGTACAAAATATTTCGATCATAAATAACGTTAAATATGTACACATATTTAATTGTGTTCTAATTCCGTAATAATTATACGGAAAAGGTCACAAGCTTTTATTTTTCTTGTTATAAGCTGTTGTGAGTGTTCATGAACATTTATTATTACATCGTATTGTTCCCCATAATGGTTCTAGTTAGGACGTATGAATAATTGCTCGACGGTTTGTTGTATTTCATCTACTGGAGACCATATTATAATATATGTAGTCGCTCACAACAAAGAAATCAGAAATAATCTAAAAAGGAAAAAAAAATTTGTCTACTAAGCTTTATTAATACGTGAAAGTGAACTGAGATTCTACTTCCGTCAACGATATCTTCATAATGCGGCGGGAGTTACGTTTCTTTGCATCGTAATCGAACTACGGACGCGTGTCGACAACGTCAGTGCGCATATTATGCACATTGATTTCTTCGATAACGATCTACTAATGACGAGAAATGATAAAATGACGATAACGATGATGAACATTAGACTTCTAGGCGGTGCAATGACAGACCGGGAATGGCTTACTGCGAAGACTATGGTCAGTTGAAAGCCCCTTCTTGTTCTCAGATATACAGTATAAAGCTAGCAAGGTAACAAAATGTCAGCATTGATGCTGTGACGAACAGATAATGAAAGTGAGGACAGCATCGTAATCGTCTACTGACCTACGTTCTTAACTTGATATTCTAAGTAATAATGAAAAAATACTACCAACCTATTTACCTTCATTTGAAGGGGGCCCAGATGAAGTACGATCATCTCTCGACGAACGCTTCTCCTAAGAAACCGTTAACAGAAAAACAGCATGAATAGCTATATTTTACATGACACTATAGGAATAATAACTTCACGTTGATACTAATGAGTAGGATATTCCTATGGAGCACTTTTGAATACGCTAATTAATAATCCGTCCTGCTTATGCTTCGTCTTCCGCTGGATCCGCTGTATCTAAGACTGTGTGTCTCTGCGCTTTTTTTTCCATATGCTTATTGACTGATATCGTTAATTCTAGGTGTTTCACGTTTTTGTCCTGGTCGTATTCACAATGGGCGCGTGTATGGATCCCGACGTAACGTACCTTGCGTCTGGCTCTGTTTTCGGCATATTTATCGTCTTCGAGATTATTCGTGTACTGCGGATCGAGCCGGCTGCTTCTGCAATACAAGGAGTATTTGATACATTCATCGACTCCAAGGATCAAGGACCGCTAGTTCTATCGCACATTTACTTATTGCTCGGCTGTTCCGTGCCATTCTTTCTTTATCCGGGCGTGGATTACTCGCGCGAGGGTGTCACTTTGGCACTCCTCACGGGAGTGACCACAATCGGAGTGGGCGACACAGCTGCAGCCGTCGTTGGCGCGCACTTCGGCCGTATCTATTGGCCCGGTACGAGGAAGACTCTTGAAGGAACCGCAGCGGCTGTTGTCGCCCAATTCGTCTGGTGCATCTTTTTCGCGCCGGTTACGGCCGATGCAACGTTCGCCGGCAAGCTCTTTGTGGTTTTATTATTGACGTCGTGCCTAGAAGCGACGACTGAACAAATTGACAACCTTGCAGTGCCTCTTTTCGCCTTTCCTCTCTTCCTATCACTATTGTAGTATCCTGATAGGCTTCTGAACGTGAGTTCTCTTATAGGTTAAACATCCAAGTTTATATTCAAAAAAAAAAAACGCACTGCAGGCATAGCAAAATATACAGCAGGACACCTTTCCAAACATGCTTAGACATAAACCCATCCATCAACATTTTTGGAAGAGTCGCAAATTTTGAGGAGCCGAAGATCACTGGCATTGATAATAGTCTGTAGATACATACATGTGGTGGAGGCTGTATCTCCGTTCTCGTATGAATTTTTCATATACACGATCATGTAGACTAGTTTTACTGAGTAGTAGTAGTAGTAGTAGTAGTAGTAGTATATTAAGCTTTTTGTTTGTTTAGTAGAGTCGCATAGTTTCGGTCCTAAACGGTTTAAGAAAATGGCAAAGAGATCTGATAAGACGCCTTGCATGCTTATTTCGACCACTAATATACTTAAAACGTCATCGCGTGCAAGTGCAACTTACCCGTTGTTCCCCGGCTATAACTTCGTACTTAACTAAATAACTATAAGAAATTTTGCAAATATTACTAACTGGAAACATCGGTATCGTCGATGTTGGGCCAAGTGTGTGCTTATATGAGTGCCAACAATCAGTTTGCCAATAAAAATACCCTTATAGCTTTCCCCTTCTTTGACTTGTGAAAACATCCTCAAGGCTATAGAAATATTCTACAGTTATTCATTATATCGCCATAGCAAATCTTTTACTTGTGTGTTTGAAGAATTTGATCAAGAGACGATTGCGTCTGACAAACTTCCCTACGCAAAACAGCGCTTTCTCCCGAGGTGCACTACGTCTGATTTTCTGAGCACGCAACTATGCGTCGAGAGCGTTATTGATAGAACAGACATCAGTTCTTATTCCATTAACGGTACCGATTTTATTATGGCTAAAAACATGGTACTAGATATTATCTGACCTAATTTTTCAACAACAATCAATTTGTTTGTTAAAGCTTGCTGAAATGTCGGATAACTTTTCATCGATTATTATAATGTAATAATTTTTTTTCGTTTTTCAAAAATAGCTTGAATCATAGTTTAGCCGACATTTCCCGCTGCCGATTTACTGGTTATGCGGATTAATCTTCCAATTTGCACTCGGATGGAAGCAAATGTGGAAAAGTTATGTGATGTTATTATTTTTTTCATATATATCATTGTGTGAACTGTTTGTTTTGTTCACTAACAAACAAGGTGATTAAAATATATGTTAAAGAAAAGGCGCTGGGAAGATCGCTAGGAAGCTTATTATGTTCATGATTAATATAATTAAATGGGAAATATGTATAATTAGTATTAATATTAGGAAATGTAGTCAGAAATGGAGCAATTTATTACTGTAAATAGTCATGTACAAGGTGTAATATGTCCCGTAGGTTGCCCGAATCCGTTCCAAGTTTAGTTTAGGCAAAGATTTATTTTTACATATGCAGCACGACCGTTCACAGGTATTTGTACAGCTTTCTTGACCAATACGCTTTTTACCCTGGTGAATACGTTAAGAGGAATATACACACTGGAGCATCACGATTACGTTTGCATTGTCTTGGTGATAAACAGGACAAAATATATGTAAATAAGAGAGCATATTGGCCGTAGGAAGGGCCCACAGTTAACGAAGTAAAGCTTTCAAGAAAAACAAAGTTTGCTAAACTTTTCGTCTGCTGTTTATGACGAGAGCGCGTTAACAATAATGTAGATGACTCGTAGTGATAACAAACCAATATATGAAGTGTAAGATGAATTAATAAATGTATATGAACTAGAATTTATATATAAAAATGTCAATTTTCTTTGGAGTAAAGCACGCGCTTAGAATGTGTTGGTATTCTTTTATCTTGTGAACGACAATAGCATAATATTGAATTTCGACCTTTGAGGGAACGTTTTCTCCACCAAGAGCTCATCACATGTCATTTAATTATCTGATATAAACTCGATTCACTAGAACGGTGCATTATCGTTAAGAACGGCATAACACTATAGAATATTTGTTTGATCCATAAAACTGCAATCCTTAAAATCCTGCTACGTTAAAAAAAAGGATATATCATTATAGCGTATTTTGAGTAGGTGGACGCTTCCGTTCTGCCACATAAGACTTTATAGATTTTACAAAGCTGCCTACAGTGTGAGTTTGTGCATTGTTGGATTTGCATAATTTCTCTGTGTTGAAGCGGATGTCGATTTGGTACTTAGAATTCCATACTTACAAAAGTTATGAGGAATTGCGCTACCCAGAAAGCTATGCAATAATCTTATGTAAGTGCTTAAACCTTAAAAAAATGCTATCCGTTGATAGGGAAGTCGGTTTAATGAAATAAGTTCAAAGATTCCGATTATGAACATCACGCAGCCTTATAGCAAAGTTGTATGTTATTAGCTTCGGCGAATCTTGATTCCCATTTTTGGTTACTTAGAAAATATCCTGCTTTGGCGTACGTTACGCAGGATTTCCTCAACTCTTAACCTCTTTCCGGCCAAAGGTGTTTGTTGTTATTGTGATTGTTACAGTGAACCCAGGTAGCCAGATGTAATCTTTTGTTAACCTCAAATATATGTCTAAACGTCTTTTCAGAAAATAACATAGACCACTTCACGAAACACTAAGCCAATCAGGATAGGGAATATTATTTGACCTCCTGTGGAGCAAAATTGGCTGTGACTAAATTGGTCATTTTTGTTTTTGACGAATGATGATATTGAAGTATCCTAAAAAATAGGTATGAATGTATTTAATATACTTCATTAGCAAATGTTTAAGTTTATAAGTGAGTCAAAAGTACTCTGTCACGCAACCCCCCCCCCCGCTATATAAATATTTATGTTATCATATCATGTGTTATGTCAATCAATGTGTTATCATACGCAGGGTAACTACAGAGTCAGTGTATTTTGCCCCTGGAAGCGGCTAAGTTTAGGGGAAACGTGTAAATCACTTCCGCTCCGCGAGTTAGCGACATATCTACCGTCGCTTTCCATTGAGAGTTTTCGACACTATGATTTGCTCTTTGGAAAGGTTCACTGCGTAGCTTCTATTCTAACAACATTCGATGGCTCTATCCACGTACCATCGAAAATCTATAGCGTTACGAACTGTGATGTCTGCCAGCCTCATTAATCAGAAGCTGTTTTTTCCTTAAAAAAATCTGGTTTTATCCTTTAGTAATATTTACGTCCTTAGATTAATTCTAAAATTAAAGTGTTATCAAAATCATAGAAGTTCATTTTATTTTGAATATATTTTTTTGGGCAACTAAGATCGAATATTTTTCGGAAAGAAGCAAACCTGGTACGTAAGGTCAGAAATAAGCAGAATTTTATTTTCAACATTTAACTGATTAGTTAGTAGATTATAGTTAAGTTAGTCATGTTTCACTATAGTTAGTCGACAGTCGGGTCCTCTAGACAGTTTAGAACATGATGGCCAATTAAACGCAGTTATTTATTATCCGAATTCGAATATCGGTATAATTCAACGTTCCGTTGTCCTAAAAATGTTTTATAGACGAACGTGGTAAACCATTCTTTTGAGTCTAATAATTTATTGGTTATCGCAATAGAGTTGGATAAAGCAATCTCTATGATATACAGGAGAACCGAATGCAGAGACGAGCGGTTTACGGATAAAGAAATCTATAGCTGATGTTAGAAGCTCATAGGGGTCAGCCGTTTACCACACTGATCTGAGAGCGATTAAATTCGAGTGAAACCTAAATTATATTTTTAATTCTATATGACTGATTAAGTTTTTCTTTATATATTTTAGTAAAGACACGATCTTTCTATGAAGATGTACCACGAATATAGACACTGCGTCCGCCCTAATGAAGAAGGCCGGTGGAACAACATGCGTCGTATGATGCGCATCATGTACTGTGGTTATAAAAAAAAAAGAAAAAAAAAAAACATATAGAACAAGGATGTACTCGAATGACGCTCCAGTAAAAACGACGTTTATGCAGGTTAGTGCAAGTTAGCCATTTGGATTTCAAGAAGAGCTCGTTTCCCATACCAACGGGACGAACATTTCACTTAATTTTTATATTACCGTGAAAATCGTTCTGATCACCCAAACCGATTTTCACATCCGAGTCAATTACATGTTTGTAGTCTTCTGTAGTTCCCTTTGTTCCCTGGTTTAGCACAACGACGTCCTGGATTGTTTTTTTGGCTGCAAAATTCATCCTGGAGGAAACACAAGTACCTCGTCGTACGTGCATCCGGGCAGTAAGTGATTTTCCAGCGCTCGTCCTTAACGTCTCGCTCCTAACTGTTAGAATCCTGCTCAGATAACAATCTATGGGCATTGCCTTCAGTAGCGGCAAATACGAACGTCTTCCGAGAGAGAGAGAGGTGTAATAGTACAAGAACTACGTGTGGAAACGATTTGCAGTCAGACAGGGCAAACGATGCGAAATTCGACCCTAGCGACGCGTAGCGACCGACGATTCGGTTACCCCAGTGGGTTCGATGGGGCTGTAGCTGGTAAACTTAAGAAGGGAGCCCGAGGTCTGATAGGTGATGAGGGCGATAACACTCATGCTTCGCCGGGTTATTTTACAACAGCCGTTTTGTGCAAAGTCACGTATTCATCTCTCTAGGAGCTGAGGAGTAAACATAAGACGTGTTGAAACTAAAAATTGTTCCAGAAGGGAGCTTGTTGGTTGGACAGCTGTTGGATGCAGAAAAGGCAAAGTTTTTGAAAATTTCGGTAAATCTTAAAGAAACCCATAAAAGTCCAGCGGGCAAACGAGCATTTATGAGGTCGAATTCTACGTCTGATATAAAATTCTTTTGGACTTTGCCACATGTTACCAAATATACCGATCGAAGTATGGGTTGGCCATCAATTGTGCAGAAATTATTGCACTTTTCTCCGCATAAGGTTATTTGGTTAGGGTCATAGATGTTACGAAATAATACATGAATACATGTTTGCAGTGAAATTTCTTCCCATCGATCAGATTTTTTTTCACAGAGAAATCATTTTTATTTCAGTATCGATTACATTAAAATGAAGATGTGTGAATACGTCCCAAAAAAAAATTTTCAATAGTGTACTTTTTACTTGCTTTTTTACTTTGTGTTAGTATGTTCTGTTTTTACACAGTTTTAACTAACATGTTTAAGCGACTATTTTGGGTTTGCTAACAGTGATCCGTCAGAATAAGTCACCAAAAACAAGTCACGTTTAACATCTCTTTAAAATTTTTCGAGCTGTTACGTGTAGACGTATTGAAATTCTGTGTAATACAGGTGAGCAAGGGATTCGTGCCCATTTAGAATTGCCAATTGAAAGGCTGGAATTTATGCAGGCGAAAATTCTTTAACATTATTAACGTACGAATTTGGTTCTCGTACTCCATGCCTCTCACCTAGATACTTGCTACTAGATATCTTTCAGCTGCTGCCGTTCCCGTCTTCAGCGCAGACGGTTAACGTGTGAGACACTCCTCATACGTATAAATAACGCACATGAGCCACGACTCACTGCGCACGTCTTTATTTTATGAAGATATTTTTGGGAACACTCGTGGCGAGTGAAGATCTGTTTCAGGTACTAAGTCACCCTTTCTAAAGTTCTCCACTACCACTCGGACTTCCAGTATTAACTTTGTAGAGTCATAGCGATGCTTGTTATGTTTGCCACTATCGTTGCGCTTCTCGACCATGACTTCTCATGGCACTGTCCTACATAGGACCTTAATGTTATAGATGGAGGCGATTCGGAATGCTCTCCTTATTTGGATAGCGAGTAGCCGTTCTGATTTTCCAGATGCGATGTATTTTCTATAATTTTGTTTAGATTTGGAACCATGTAGAGAATTATGTAATTCATCGTTGAAGTAAGTAGACTTCATCTTTTCGCCGAGGTTTTGTAGAACTAAGATTGCCTTCTTCATTGTTTGTTTCACTTCCTGAGTTTCAATTAGATCCTGATCAGTACTTATCCCTGGGTATCTAACAACCTTCTCTGGTTGCGTTGGGTGTCAAGGACAGAATAAACGAATTCAAAAGGTTGTTTCAGCTTGGAAGATAAGCTACGTCCAGGACGACGTAATGCAGTCTTTGTTGTAGAATAAAATCAGCTAGAGGTTAATAAAAAGGTGGGCAGCGTAAATGACTATCCGTGTCATGAGTTCACACCCATATCTGACTCTGTTGAAAAATGTGCGATCGGTTTCCATATTCTTTTCAGAATATGGTCAAAATATCATGTGATGACGGATTATCACCAATTTAGATTGACGCGGGCATTCTTTCTCGTAGCCCGTGATTGTGATTGATATTTAGCCTCTACTTGACAAAGATATATAGCATATATATCGTAACAAACTAGAAGACCGGTGTCGGTTCCCTTTCAAAAATGGGCTTGTGCAGATTCATAATCGCGATGTATGAATCTATTCTAGAATGTAGAATTTCTACCAATATGGCGACTAACACCTGAACTAGGAAAATCCTTTTCCAGTTCCCAGACAAATTTGCTCATATCTTCGTGCTTGCAAATGCCGAAATAACAAAAACGAAGTTCAATAGGCGCAAGTAATTGTGCCGCTCGCACGAGCTAACCCCCCGCGACCACTTCCAAAAAAAATGATAAGGCAACATTACTTTTTAGAAGCTATTCACAGTTGTAGCTAAATGACATATAGTCTAAACACCTGGGTTACCCCACATAACCCACTCTGTATTCTGAAAATATGAGCTAAACAGGGTATCAGTCTTGCATGTGCGTTTGGTTTTTCAAAACTAAAGGTATTTATGTTGTATAGACATAAAACAAACGTAAAGTATTGCTTTACAAACATTTTCCCACATCTAAATTGCTTATTAAATAAGTGAACCCAATATTAGTGCTGGATTTTTTTGATTATCGAGATCGGAATGATTGACTGGCTCACGTTTTGTGGTAGCGGCCAGACATAGTATAATCACGTTGAACTGGAATTATTTAGAAATTCGCCCCATTCATTTTCGATGCTATTCAGTCAAAGGGGCTAACGGTCAGTTGAACTCATTCATTTGAAGTGGGTCAATGTACGGTCGTTTGCCCACGTTCTCGCGCATAATTTTTTCATGTCCTTAAGGTGTTCGCTAGACAAAAAGGCATAGCGAAGGTGGAACTACATAACATAGCCACTGAATTGTATTAGTGTCTATAGGGTGGCTTAAGAAAAGATAATACCTGATTTATTTGAAGAAAAAATACGAAGTGAAGTAATATTGGCCACCTACAAATTCTGTGTAAGGAGATCAGTCATTCAGCAAAGTTAGATTAAAACTGCTCGTCTTTTGGGAACAAAATGTGATTTTGCCTTAATAAAACGGCACTCGATAATCAGCGTCAAGCTAGCCGGGTTGAAGAAAATGATTATCGTATGTCCTCATGAAGTTTTTCGACGTGGCGTAACAAATACAAAAATACGATGTCTTAATTTATGCACTCATATATATGCGCATAACATAAAGGTCTGTTTATAATATGGAGCTTCATTCCAGTTGCTGTTAGAACAACTGATAGCATCACGATTAGTATATGCCCGAAGCACAATACTACTCTATATTAGTCCATATGCCCCTCAATGTGGTCATGTGATAGGGATTCAATGCAATGATTTCTATAGGTTTTGAGGTGGTTTTACTTTGTCTTACGAAACGTGGTTCTAGGATAGGTGTAACTTCCTTGCTGCTTTATAGTTCAATTGAGGTTCGATTCAAAGCAAAGATGAAACTTTATTGGCTCAATAAAGCATCCTTTGGCGTTAGGTAGGATTAGAAAATCCTATAGCACGTGCTGCACTTAATTTTTTGCCCGTATGCATTCCCCATACATTGTATGTGCTTGAAGGAGTCTCTGATGCACCGCGCTTGCAAAGGTTGTTCAGTGAAAGCTTTATCTATTTGAATTCAATCGAAAGTAATCTATCTATTTATGTAGGCCATCTGAATATATAACATATAGATATAATTTATGATTCTGTAAAATATAAGAGTAATATGCGTGGGCCTTCATACACATCTTCATATCGTAAAATAAAGATTCTATAAATATTCTAGTAAGCGAAAAACATAGATTCAGTTTCTTGTTATATAAAATCGTATTATTGTAAATAACTTATCCAAAGTTTAGTCTGATCGAACTGAACATGTGTTCCCTTGTACAGCTGTTCCTAGATCTCATTATTGAGAAACGTATCTCTGTGTGTTATTTAGAATTCAAGAGCAGCGGTTACAAGCTATTTCAGAGCGAAATTTTTCGTGCAAATCTTATCATATGAAAGGCGGCACTGCGTTCAGACATTCTGCTCCGCCAGCTCAGTGTACACCTATCTACACGCTGCGAGAGTACTCGAAATTCTGGTGTCCAGCAATCAGTCCAACAGGAACTTTTGGCAAACTGTATAGAGTTCCCAGGGCCTTTGGCGTCAGCTTTCTGGTGTAGCGGAAACCCCCACCTGTCTCGCGGTCCGGTTTCCGTCCTACTCTTTGCTGCCTAACAGTTAAGTCACCTCGTGCCACGTATGGCAACACCGCTGGAACACAAAATGGTGACGCCGTGTAATTCCGTCCCTGCCCTTTTTATGTCGTTTTACGAGCTTTCTTTTTCACGGCTGGCAAGAATAAAGCTAGCACCTTAATATACGAGGCTACTACAGTGCTGAAGAACGATGCGGGCGTTAGCCTTCAGGTGATGTAAAGACAATTTAGAAATACCACTCTGCTTTTCAGATTACAGCAGGCGGTGGCTATTCGAGTCAAATTATTATTATTACAAACGAAGTATTGTAACGAAGTATTGTAAATACTTCGTTTGTAACACTTGATGGAGATCAGCTATTCATATGTTTGCTTGTTTGGATTTAACTATTAGGCCAATTTAACATAATGTGTTATACTTAAAATTGTTATTTGCGGGTTGTATTTTGGAGCGATGTCCCTTGATAATAAACGTAGGTACACTATATAACTTGTCAGTTTCAAGAAGAAGTTGTATCATCCGATTTCGAAATTCGAGGCGGAAAATTTGAGCGTTCTAAGGAATACTAGGAGAAGTAGCTTGCGAGAAAAATTCAGCAAAGTATGTCGGATCGCGAACAATCAGCGAGACCTAAATCAATATAAAGAAGTCTAATTAAATATTGTGCTTTCAGTCACTAAGGCTTTTGCAATATGGCACAGTTGCTTTCCCATTCTTCTTACTATCCTTAAATTTAGCTTACTTATAACGTAATTTACTTTTTTCTTAATTTTCTTCCTACCAGATTATCTTCATGAAGCGAAGTTCACTATAAGTTAAAATATAAAGCTATAACCTTTTAATACGACTACTAAAGAAAATCAGCAAACTATCCCGATATGGAAAGTTCAGATTTAAATAAGTGTTTTACAAAGTTTTTTATTTATTATGCGCTCCCTCCACAGCGTGGGTTAGTATTTATTCTGATTTTTAGCGAAGGCACCTCTCGTTACCAAGTAGGCCTCGGAATCCATTTTTAGTTACCTTTAGGAAAACGTTCAAGTATGTAGAGCACATTCAGGTCTATAAAAAGTCTATAACAGCAATAAGTAGAAATAAAAAAAAAAAAAGCAAACAAAAAATCCGGTTTGCTGGTCATATCCATCAGGTGGACCACGGTCTCTGTTAAGGCGAAAAAATATCTCCTTTGTTTAATGTGAAGCCCGATTGGATTATAGTCAAACAGGTTGCTTCTAACTTGTACTTTATGCAGTACTTAAATACTAGCATGCCTGTCACTCAACCCGTTGTCCCTAAGTTGAGCTGATAGTGATTATGAGTATATAAAACAAAAAGGCTTGCACTCGTCATTATTGAGGTTTATTGATCCAAGTCTTTACATGTACATTTATTTATCTCTACGTTCTCAGTTTTCAACACGTCTTTGCCTCTTGTTGCAATCATTCCTTGACAATACCTTATATCTCTATATGAGTAAAATTAGTATGGTGTGACAGCACCTTATATATATATATATATATATTCTTATATATATGTTCCATATATTGTCTACACTACAGACAATATACAAAGAAAATCTCTATTTTTTATTTAAATATCTTCAACCTGTATTACTTTCTTCGAATATGCTTGATTCATCCTGAAAGCCAATAGACTACTAGCGGACAATCAGCTAGTGTTTCGTCTTTTATCGTTTAAGATTATTTTCTATACCCAATGTCGTCGATATTGGCGCAAGGGGCATATATTTATCTAGGTCACATACAGTCATCGTTTTAAGTTAACACAAATGTACGATCTCTTTCTTCGTTTTATAATTAAAAATGTCGCCCACGGACATTATACAATAAATTATATAAATGTAATTATTATATCTTTTTTTTATTTACTCTACTATATCTATATATTGTCCAGTCAGCCCGATTGTTCTACCGTTCCGCACCAAGTTCATCAGCAACTATCTATCACTTGTTAGGAGCTTTTCAAATAAAAAATATCTAATAAGTGAAGACATTTATCTGAGTATCTAATAAATATTTTAATTCTATCTCGCAAGCCTGATGACAATTACTGCATGTGCGAAACAGTCGGGCCTAAAACGAAGTGTACAGCTGATTGCTACAGGTGTACAATAAGGAAAGACGAGCATCCAATATAAACTGATGCTGTAAGCAAAGCAAACGCGGGAGGGCTAAGGAACCATAAAAGGCACGAGAACATATGACCAGACGAATCTCCACAGCCAGGTATTTCAGACATCTTTGTGAGCTCATGCCAGCCGATCATCATTGTAATACGTGTGGTACAATTGAAGGTAAAGTAACGAGACTCAATTGAAACCGACGCCTTCGTGGCTATTGATATTACTTGACTGCTGCTGTGACACACAACAATGCTTGTCCTGAAGGGCGGAAAAGACCAGTTTTTTAGAACGCCGGGTTTTTTTTTCTTAATTTGCGACCCATATGACTTAGGAGTTAAAAGGTCTTTCGGAGCTAATAAGTGTGGAACATTGTTCATCAAAAGTAAAATCTGTGGTTGCCCATTATAGACTTGTACAATCGACCCATATCGTGACCGATCAGCTTTCTGTAAGGTACGGGAAGAGGCAAACAATATACGTAAAAGCTCTTCAGGCAAACGCTTCTCGATCCGAAAATACAGGCACACATTAGTAGATTAAAAAAAATCAGGGCTTCTCAAGATTTTATTAAGGCTACCCCTGTTTTGTATTATGTGATTTTTTATACACTGGGGAAGGTAATGGTTCTTACACACTGGCAAGTGGCTGTGATAAAACGTGGCTAAAAGACCTTTTTTCTTTGGGTACGTTGGTTATTTTTTCACCGCGCACGCTCTTTTTTTGTGCCTCCCATTGGCGACGCTCAATCTTGACCTCAATGATATGTTCCAGTAGCGACCTACAATAACCGTAGGTCGGCCTCTACAAGAGCCTAGATAATCAAAGGTCTTTTTCCTTTATGGACTGTTTTTCCTTTCGATTTCTGCTTCCTTCGATTGAGAATGGTTAAGAATTCCGATTGTTAGTTGCTTTGTTAGTTGCTGTTGTTGCCTCGTACTGCTGGCCTACAGTCGGGCGTCTTCTTCCTTTGTTTCACAGCTTTGTTTCTATCTGTTGCTAAGCAGAAAGAAAATGACCCACCAGTAGGCCTTACTGCCATTGGCAAACGATATCGGAGCGTCTGGTCCGTTTTCGAGACTCCAGGCGTCGTCTTCCCGCGTGCCGTGCTTAATAAGAAGCGAGTAAATGAATTTACAGAACGAGTCCATCTGTTGGTGAATCCGTCGATGGCACGATCCACCCGTGTCGCCTCTGGTTCACCTTTGACAGCCTCAACAGACAGAAATCGTTGCTCCATCGCATAAACATACGTTATGAGAATGAACAACAGAGTGGTGATCATCAGCGTGATTAATATCGTCTGCACAAGTCTCTTGCCTGTATCTATTCGACATTCGCAGAAGATGGTTCGTGCAGTTCATTCATCGGACAAATAACAGAGGGAAGCGGCATCGCAAGGGGTGCGAGAGAGAGCTCATATGAGCTTGTTTTTTTTAGCATGCTATTTAACACCGGTACCACGTGCGTATCTCTGGTATTGTAGTTGCATTCGTCTTATCCGTAACAGCGTGCGAACTATCATAAGTATTGTGTATTTATTATTTTTTCAAAGACTTAAATCGAGCATTCAGTTCAAAATTTGTGATCGTATTCGTGCACAGCCTTACATATATAGTATACTATCTATACTATTATACTTTTTCGTCTTTGATAGGTAGTAAGAATACATACCGCTAGAACTTAGTTCTGAAATCCTTCTCCTGGGTCTACGATAGTAGTCTACTGCCGCCATGCATTAATAATTTTCGCAGCGTTTAATTTGTAGAAGTCTCTCTCATTTTTCTTCCTTCATTTTTCTTCCATTGCCTAACCGCTTTCCGAATACGTTTGGAAAACTCAAATGTGAGGTCGGGAAGGTATCAGCACAAAGGTACGTATCCACCTTCGTAGTCTATAGGGTTTGACTTAAGATTGTATATTGTCCGGTCCAAGTCGTATTTCCATATATGACGTATGTTCAATAACTCGGTTGGGTTAACGTGATCTGTGTTTGTTGCCGGCGGTCTCGGCGCTTGTTGGTAGGCAGGACTGTTAGTGGTGAGGGAGAGCAATTCGTTTTTCTTATCTATGCTGGTTCGTGTTGTTTTGCCGTTGACTTTGCATCCCTTTCATTAGGACACTGATCGACCTGATTCTAGGTCAGACAACAAAAGACACAGTTTCGACTGTTCTATGCAACACAGCACGCGATTACGGCGAAATTAAATCAAACTGGGTTGCGTTTACAGGCACTTAAGCCATCCGACATTTTTGCTATTAGTGACGCCGTTGTGTCAAATACTCCATGACAACTCGGTATCCTCGGTGGGGGGTAGGGGGTATAGGTGGATTTAGAGCAGTTCCGTTGAATTCTGTAATCTGTTGGCACGTGGAATGTAATTTACGGTAGTGCAACGTTCAGGTGGCCCAAATAACGCGTTAAGTTGATTTTAAAGATAATCCTAGGCAGAGGTGCATTCACAGGCTGAGGGTAACGCAAAGGCTCTTAGGGTGGGACAAGCCTCGGGGTTGAGTGGATCCAGAGCGATTAGTGTCTGAGGAGCAAAACGTTGCACGCAACGAGTTTTCACGCTGCAGCCGCCAAGTCGCTGGCACGGTCGACCTTCGTCTCTATAAAATAAAAAAAAAAAGAAAAACTTGACCAAGGTTACTGAGTTGATTTTCAGCCTTCTGCCGCTGCGAGAAGCAAGCCGGTCAAAAAGAAGCGATAAGTTCTTCGAATGAAATTACTATAAAATCTCGAGTCGAGGGAACTAAAGTTACTGTTGAGGTAAATTGACGAACTCAAGCAAATACATTTAGTTACGATTGATAACGTTGAAGTACAAAGGAAATGACTGAACAAAGTTAATTAAAAACTAAGTAAGAAATAGTTAATCGCTGTGTGATGTCGCGAAACCGTAAGAACTACGTCAAACGGACTTGAATGCTAAAAGCTTATGATATATATATATATATATATATATATATATAGTCCTTGACTAATAGATTTTAATTTGGGATAAAGGTCATGTATCTCAAAGGATCACAATGTCTACAGTATGCAAATTTGGAGAACTGACAATTCGTCCGGCTACATATTAACACATGGCTCTCAAGAAATTCAGTAGATGAGTTTATTTAGCAGATTCGCAGTCCTTTAGTTACACCATGTAGGGCAGAGCTCCACATACAGGACATAAACGAGGTCGTGGTCGATCTTTATTTACTATAGGTCCTGTTGCTGTGCGCTCTTCATTGTATAGTTTCATCGCGCTTCCTCCATTGTCGGCAAGATTTAATAACTCTGCTTAACCTTAATATCGTGTATATAGATTGAGCGAAATCTCCTTTTGAAAAGGCTTCTGCGGTCTCGTGGTACCAGAATATCTCAGCCCTGGGAGCTCAGCGGAATTGTGAGCAAATTACTCAGAATAAGAGTTTGGCTTCCATAGGGACTTGCCGCAATGCAAGAGTGGTAGCCTAACGTTTAAACACAGCGCCCACCTCGGATGATGCACGAAAGACAACCGCACCAAATACACTATTATTTCGACCGCTATTGTTGTTCGCAGGGGCATGTGGGCTCAACACTTTACTTAATGCCCAACTGATAGGCGTCGAACTAGGACATCGAAAGTGCAAAGGGCCGCTGCCCAGTTTTTTTTCATTTTCAGGTACATATGATTTAGGTAAAGATAAGAGCAATCATTATTTAGAAAGCTGGTAGCAATTAGTTTGTGTTGAGTTTACAGAGACACACTACGAGCCTCTAGTTATGTTTGATACACAGTTACAATTGCTGACCAGCTAATGGTCTATGTGGCCAGCAACAAATAGTTATATTTAGCAGTGAATATTACCTGTGCCGTAAAAGATCGTATGTCCATCATTTTATGAGGCGGTGTATAATACCTAAATGTATCGGTATGCAGGAACGAAGTCGTCGAACGGAATCCACAAGGCAGACCTAATCGAAGATTGTAAATGTCAAAAATTTTAAACCTGAAGACGTGCATTTAAATCGAACGAAGTTTCACGGTTGTGGATTTATGAATAACGTTCATGACATATAACTTAACTTTATACTTCCTATGTAATATGTATATACCCTTATACTTCTTCGCGAGTCAGCCACTCTATTGAAACAGTCTAAACATTAAAAGACTTCTTAGCAGCAAAGTTTTCGCGTCAACACACAACGTCTAATACGTGCGTTTATGCAAAGGCAAGCAAACTGATCGAATCGGGCGGAAGCATATATAGTCTATTGAAATTATCTTCAACGGGCGAGGAATCCCTTATACAAACTACGAAATCATCGTGTTTCACAGATTTTACATTAACGACCAGCTTCACTTCGTTCGTATTAGTTTAAAACGTTTCGGTAAGCCCGTGAAACGACTGAGCTCACGATGTTCCGCAAACGTCTATCACTTTCATGTCATACGGATAATGCTGTCTCTCCTGTAAGGGGTTTTTTTTTCCAAGCGTCGTTCTTTCATGGCTCCACTGACGACAAAAACGGCCTGACCGGTTTCGTTGACACGTCTGTTTGGATTAGAGTTTCTACGTGCTACGAGAACGTCACTCTCCCGTTATCGTAAAAATCGAAACGTTCCCTCCCCTTTAAATTCAGGATAGTCGTCAGAAGCGATTAACATAACGAAACACATAGCTACTTTCAGACGGTGCTGTGGTCCAACGTCAGTGGATATACACCAACGACCGGCGACAACGATTTCGCGACCGGCTCCAGAAAAACGCATCTCTCAGTGAAATCCTATTATTCATCTTGATCTGAAATGACTAAACACAACCTTTCGACGCTCTGACATAGATATTTTTGTCCTTTGAAAGCAAGCCTGCCGTGTGCACTGTTCGTATCTCATGGGATCATTAAAATCGGATCATCTGACATTGACAACAGCTGAAATGATCACCAAAAGTAAAAACAACGGATAATGATTTCCATGTTGTTTAATGCAACTAGGCAGTTGTTGACGGTGTGATCTTCGTTCTGAAAGTCAAGCAAGTTGTCGGAAGATGCACGGCAGAAAAGCGAGGAAGGTATAGAATGCGGTGTTTTATAGACATTGTGAGTCACTTTTTTAAAGCTGTTTTGCAGAATTCGGTGTCACTTATAAAAGGACTGTGCATGACAAGAAATCTCGCAGACACACGACTCTGTCCGACCGCTTCTTCATCCCGAAGAGTGATAAGATCTCGGTCATGCAACATATTTGTTTCAGGAAATGCCTGCTGAGACCGTGTGTCTCCATTCCGCTATCTTTAGTGTCCCTATAATAAAGATGTCTTTACACTTAATTTGCTGACTTCTAAGCCTGTACGAATTTTCCAATAAAAAAAAATGCACCTACGGATGCTAACAACGGCAAAGAGAATGGATATACATGCATTAAGCTGTTTCCTGTCCTCTTCGTCTTGCACAACAGTCTCTAACGTGCTTTTTACTGTTGAACATTGTCGGAACCCAGAACACGACTAGACTACAAAGAAATCCGGCAAATTCAAGTTCCTTTCTGCTGGCAAGTTTTTGAAAGTAATCCTATAGCCTGATGCTAGAAACAATATGATAAGCTCTCAATCTTGCGGTCTATTTTTTCTGTTTCAGATTAGATCGTCTGGACAAGCACGGATAGAATAGAGAACGGCCTACACTTTACTTGTCTACCTAAGAGGACGCGAAAGCAAGAGTGAACGTGATCTATTAGTGCCTTTTATCAAACACCGACGACCACGACAACAGTGGACGTTAAATTTGCTCGTGGTTACACTTGATGCCCAAACCCAGCGGAATAAACGCGCTTCCATTGCAGCACGATCACACACCCACACATCGTAGCAACTTGCTATGATGCGATTTGTATGTGTGCATCACGACGGCATGAGTTCTTGGCTACCTTTGTTTTTGTTGTTGTTATTGCCGGTGCCGGTGTTCGCAATCCGCTGTTGTTCAGCTGGTGAGTCGTCGAAAAAAATGCGAAGCTGCGTTATAGACGAATGAACGCATGAGGTAACGGGTGGACGGACGAAGAAGTTTATAAAGAATCTGAAGAATTTTGTAAGTGCTAAATTTCAATTCGGCGGTTGAACCGCGCGAAACTGCGCCACCTACAGCATTCACGAGAGAAATGACGCCAACAATGATTATCATCGCAGCGACTGAAACGACGGCGATGATGCTCGTGAGCGGCAACGTTGCTTAGATGACGCCCCGCTGGTGGCCGTCGCCACCGTAGTTCGAACCACCAATACGAGCACCGCATCCATCGGGAATGGAAACGAGAAAACGCGAGGACCATGAATTTTCGTTTGGCAGTCGCTGGGTTAGGGACGCTGGTGTCTGTGCGGGGGGCTCGCGCGATCACAGGCTAGCACGCAAAGTTGGCACCGTGGAGCACCGTGAAGCAACGCATCATGAGTGGGATCAGATTCGGACGGTATTCTATTTCGTTTCCGCGTTGCGTATTGATACGCGAACATCTGCATAGAAACGTCTCTTATACCGTGGTAGCATCGTAGGGTGCTTTCGGTTAGACTGCGGCCATTCTTGTCATCGCTGCTTATTCGTGTCTCAACGGGAGGACCGCAAAAGCACGCGAAAAGAGATCGAGGTAAAGGTAAAACCAGCATAAAAACTATTATTACTACTTTTACTGTTGCTAGAAGGATGCGTCCAGGTTGTGAGTGGCGGACGCATCGTAGTCGCTGCGCGCCCTGGTGTCAAACGGCGTTAACTGACGCCTCGCAGTAAGCCTCGTATCGTAGTACTACGTAGTCGCCTGGAGTAGGGGAAATATTCTAAGCGAAATTTTATGAAAGCATAGAGGATAGAATGTGAAAGCGAGCGAAGTAACTTTAAAATTGTAACTAGCATAGTTATTACAGCCGCAACTTGTTCGTTTGAATCTGGTCCCAACGATTGAAATCACAGACCATTACACCCGTGCTCCTCGCAAACGAATTCTACCCTTGAATAGGTTTCTCCCAAGATTACCATTGACCCATAATATTTAAAGCTCTGTTTATGTACAAATATAATAATGCACATATATTCTTGCTATACTCGCATTCAAGTTTCTACTCGGATACAGATGCGACTAAGGCTGAGATTGTTAAAACGACGATAATACTGCAGTGGATGATGTACAACATCCAGACAACTCACAGCCTTCCTTTCTGTCCAACAAATGTCCACTTACTTTAGTGGGTAACAACACCCTTTGTTACATTATGATGTGCTCATTGCCTTAGCAGAAACCTTAACGAACACAATTTGCTAGGTGGGTACGAGCGTTTATACATGCGTCTATGTGAAAAATAGACGGCTCAAAAAGTCGCAAGAGAAGCAGCAATAAGAAACCCATAGTGCCATAAATAAAAGCGTTATATAAAAATGACAGCGGCGACCTAAAGCTCGCTTCGCGTTGGCCATAGAAGACATTACGGAGTTACTATAGGTCGTGGGCATAGTGCTCCAGAAGGTCGATACATCTAAGTATATGGATGTAGTTGACGCGATGACAATCTCCACAAGGTATCCGCAACTTTTGAAAAGCAAAAACTCTATACAGGACACGCAAATACTGCTCCTGCTGGTACAGCTATACCAGGAATGATAATGTTGAGTATTTACATTTGCATAGAGCACAGGTCTGTAGGGAGTAAGATGAAAATTCGTAACTGGCTGACTGTGTAGGATATGAATCATATACACATATTGATCATAACACAGGGAGATGCGAGACGTGTAAGATAAGGAATATTCCTACTAACGATGTCTATTTAGTGATTTGTTTTACGTTGCGTGTTGGAAAACGTGGATCTCCACAGTTTCTCTAACTAACTGAGAGAAAGATATTAGACAGTGAAATTCTATGAATATCTAAATAGTAGATAGTGGACACGAAAGGGGAGCAACTGTAGCCAAACGCAAGGACACATGGAAAAGCACCCGGATCCGCCCAACTTATGGCTGTCTCCCATGTGTTGCGTTGTCTGTTTAGTTCGCGGACTAAAGGACGCAACCGCCTGAATAATTGAAACCTCATCGAAGTGGGTAAAGAAGATGCGCATTAAAGTCGTATTACGTTGGGCATAACATGTGTAACAAAGTCAACCTCGATGTTACTACACTCAGCCGATTCATTTACTCTTCAATTTTGTCTGGAAAAGACTTATCATAGCCAACTAATTCCGTATATCAAATTGTGGAATTTTTAAGAAAGAAATGATAACAAGACAATACGATAACTCGGCAAATTTGTGATCAAGTGGGCCATCGTAGTGGCACGTGACGAAAGAAATCAAATAGCAGCTGTCGCTGTCGTAAACAAAAAGATATTAGTAACGGCCGCAATAGGCAGGGAAAAATTAATCAATTTCTTTAAGATCACTTTACTATGTCTGAAAGATCGAAACTTGATGGGCTACAAATGAAGAGAGGCTATCTATTTCAATCAGAGCGCGCAAGAGTTTGGTTTTACAAGCATGAAACCTGGCCAGCATCAGAGCGCTAGAGATGTCATGGCTTGATGTCGGAGGCCTTGTGTTAATCGTATGATAAAATAGGAAACTCTGATAGACCATAAAGGGAATGAATCACTGGCACAGGCTGAAATGCGTATGGATGAAGGCCACAACCAGACCAAAAAAAGACGAGGCCCATTGCTTAATAGGCAAGGAAAGGTGAAGAAACATAAGTCCAGATAGACAAAGTCTGTCGCTATAGAAAGAAGTTAAATACCGCGGACTGTTAGTCCTGACTGACGTAACGGTTTCTACGCGTGCGAAATATGTCGCTAATAGTACTATAAATGCTGCAATTGATTAATCTGGCACAATGATGAGAATAAAGCGGAAAAAGAAGGATACGAAGAGGTGTTGATGGTCGATGTGTCAGAGTCAATGACGACTTATGTCGTTCAGGTATGGGATGCGTTGACCTCAGGCTAGCACAACGACAAGGAACTTTGTTCATACGATCAAGAGTGGCAATTACGATAGAAATCGCGAACAGGACGTTATGCGGACTATATTTGTGTTAGTCATAACAATGCCGAGTCATGACGTTGGATATACACTAGTTACGAAAAAGGAACACCTCAAAAAAGTAGGCCGAAAAGGTGGATGCATGTAACACCTGGGGAGTAGACACATCTTATATCCGACACATCGCTTTGACAGAAAACATAATTAATTGACATGTTTCGGCGCCCATATACTTAGCAGGGGATTCTCAACATAAATTATCAAAAAGATCTGGATTGACATCTGTGTCTAGAGAAATAAATGACCTACAACACATACATAGACACTCAGCGCGATAAAGGACACAGCACCCTTAGGACGAGAACTTTGATCAACGACATTGTGTATATCATGATAATCTTGAAAAAGATGACGGCACGGATCCGAGTTTCTTGACAAAATTATGGTGATAAAGAAGATTTGAAGAGAGCAAGCGGCAAATACACAAAGTAAATGTCAAATTAACGGTAGCGGTCTATTTGCCGTACACTCACCAAATGTTTGAAATAGTATTAAACATCTTGGCTCAGATCCAAGGATAGTAAGAGCACGTATATGTCTACACACAAATATATTCCGTAGTAGGGCAGACGTTTGGCCTAAATCCTACCTAGAAAAGAACGATGTTCGAAGAACTGTTTGCAGTAGTCTACTTGCATATTAAATGTACTCATATAAAATATAACAAATGCTTTAAACTTGTAAGCTGAATGAACCTGATGAATGCACCTCTTCTCAAGTGGCGCGTATATAAACATAGTGTGCAAAAACGTAGATGAACAGCATATTTGTTAAACAGTTATCTAAAGTATTACAGCATGTAGTCATCATGAAAACCTGTATAAGCTAAAAAAAAAAAAAAAGAGAATTATAAACAGCTTAATTTGATAATATCCTATACCTTTGTGTGCTTATATCCGTTTTATTTAGCGTACGTGTCGGATTTGTCGATGCGACTAAGTATAAAATGAAGGTCGGTAAGCACAGAAATATGAGTACTTGCAGATATCCTCTTAGCTATAGATCTGATGTTTTTGGCACATTAATCGGTTGGTTTATAGTCCAGGATTTAAAGAAGCCAGGCGATAGAGCCTACCTGCAAAATGTGACGTGCGCCTTCTGAGGCCATCTGCCCGCTTGTATCAGTACAGCCCACTGGCCATGAATATCCCTAGCGACAGCCAGCCTTTTCGCTTTCCTTTCCGCATCGCAGAGCGGACGACCGCCGAGGACGCCACTCCCACTGCCAGCGAAGCCTCCGATCGTCGCGTTGTATTGGGATCCCGCTCCTCCATTAGGTCTCACGTACATCGCATCGAGTAGGTGCTCGCATTTGCGTAGAAAATGTTCGGTCTCCAACCTGGTTTGTTACCAAGGGAAGGCAGTGAAGCTTGTTGTATGCATTGGGTGATCGGTGTAGATAATAAAAGAAAAAATTGAAGGTAGGCATCTTTATTTAAATAACGATGATTGTGTGATGCTGACCTCTATTCCAGTTGATGGATAAGTTTTTAATGAACTATTCTGAATCACAGATACGAGAGTAGAGAAACAATATACAATAGGACTGCGCGCACAATATAACGAGCTACGGCCCTGTCGTTAATATAAGATTTTTTTTTGTTGCGGAGCATACGATTCAATTTAATAGGACCTAAATTTAGCTTATACACTCTGTACATAAAGAAATCTGCTGGACGGGTGGGACGCTAATTAAAGACTCAGCTGTTACAAACTAGTTCTGTTCAGGCAGCCCTCTAAAGCCCACATCGTACGTCCAAATCCAGGTCTTAGTTCGACATCGCTCCGTCGATAAAATCGAAAGATCGATAAAATGGGCCGTATGCGTTCGTTCGGTCAGTTAGAACGAGGTAAACGATTTTAACGAGTGCCGTCCATACGTCGGAGTGTTGCATCTCATTAAAGTCTCGTGTCTCGACATTGGATATCTGAACGGACGCTGATTTTTTGCTCAGAATTCGAGTTTGGGGATGGGACGTTTTCCTATTCAGTTTGTATATCGGCCGGCAGTCCGTTACAGCTCGCACCCGTTGTCTCGTTTTTTTTCAAAGGAAAAACTGTATTAAAATTGGTAATACGACACACTACTATCCATTGGGCGCTGGTAATTCAATCTTTTCTGAAGAGGTTCACCGAGGCACAGGCAACATTCTGGTACAATTTGGTAAATGGATTTAGTCTGGGTAGAATTTAAGGTCCAACTGATAATCTACCACATTGGCACACAGTGGCAAGGAAACGGCCAGCGAACTTTCGTCACCACGAGCAAATACGATTAATGAATTATTGTTTATATATTAGATATAAATGGCTTTCTTCATTCACACAAAATTTCTCGTGCATATGGGACTTGAAACAGCAGCAGCAGCAGCAACGAGGCCTCGTTGCTTTCAGTTAAAAATGTAGCCATCCAAGACGCCGTGTTCATACACGTATAGTTATAGAAAGAAAGAAGTCGACGACTTCTCTAAACGGTTGCTTTTTTAAACGGTACAGTATGGACGACTTGCAAAATCTTTGCTTTTAACAATATAGTGTTTTCCGGCTAGATGCAAATCAAGGTAGAACATCGCTTCTTAGCGAACACCTACGCAAGGAAAATTACGCTATAAAATGCAGCTTAATTGTGCTGACAGGATAAAGATAATGAGGTCCTGCTATGACATGAGCAATTTTAGTTTTAATTAGGGAATAAGGAAACTAACTACTAACGGTAAAAAATGCATGAATTTGTGGAATAGATACCATGCCGCATGTAAATAGCGTGTGAATTTTCCGTTTAAAAACTTTTTTCATCATTCAACGTTATCGTAACGTTTCTCACTATCTCACCTGGTGGGACCACATCCGCAGGGCATATGGACAAACTGCCTTCCATTCGATTCTATAATATAATTGACTTGGATGATTTCGTAGCGCAATAGTTTTTTGCTTGTACTTTACTACAAGCGATAAACGTGTAAATTAAACTCGCTTTTTCGAGCTTTCTTTACGGCGTTCTAGAGAAATCGTTTTTCCACCATCCGCAATAAGGGTTTTGTTAAAGATCATTCTAAAATTAAGCTTATCCTCCATTGTGTTTGATATTGCACGACAAGACGTTGCCTGTACTCGATGCGTTCTGTGCCATTATCTCCATTTTTAGCTATCTTATAAACAGCAACTACGGCTTATTCCTAAATACTAATAAAAGGATACTAGTATATAAACCAAATATCATTACCAAAGACGCCGTCATTTTTTCTGTGGTGCGTAAACGCCGTAAATAACTTGGCAATTTCCCAAAGATCAATTGCGGAAGTTAGCATAAATAGAGATCATCAACGTCTATATATATATATGGATATTCTATATATTTTATTTCTATAGTCGAAATTCGCACTGGGTGATTTTTTTTTCGCTCGGCCTTCTCTCTGCACGCACACATGTTAATTGCAATAACAAAAAAAAAAAAAAAAGTATGAAAATGGTTCAGAGGTGACGCGTGCCACTGTGAAGCCAGCATCGGCCTAGAACCAGCTATTCCACTTCTGCACGCACTTCTGCAACTGTTGCATCCTATTACATGGTTTGCTTAAGACGTTTTCGAGTGTAACCAAATGAGCACTATATAAACACACATAGATAAATACTATGACAGTGATTTTCTTATCTCACGACAAATTTAGTTGGATATATAGAGGCTAAAGAACGCCTTTCGTCAACTATTATAATAGTATGTGATTCTCTTGATAGCGTGACTTGTAGCACGCAGCTTGGGTTGCATATGTTTGCGAATGGGTGTCACACGTAGAAGCCCAAATGTGATTAAAGGCTACATCAAGTGTTGTGGATTTTTCGGGTGAGGGGTGTAGAGGGGAGTACGGTATGAGGGAAAGACTAAAACGGATAAAAAGGAACAAGAACTCATTATACAGAGTGTACGTAATGCTTTCGTTTGCTATCATTAAATTTTGGGGTCAGCCAATCTGATTTGGTCATTTTGCCGTGCGTTCGCTGCTGCGAATGGCGTCGCCTCACGATGGCAATGAAAATACGGTTATTTTACATAGACAGTTTCTGATAGGAAATTGTAGTGTTTTGTATTGTAAAGTACCATTGGTAGCTGGCAAGAGCGCTTCTGATAAATCTCGGAAAACTATGACTTGCTCACCTGATTAAACGAAAACTTATATTAATTAGATTTCTAGCAAGCATATACATGAGGACACCCATTTCCGAGAACTGTTTCACTCGTGTTATGTATGACATATATATATATATATATATTTACCGAATCTTTTGGAGTAGAGACACTGGGGAAGTGTTTCAATAGAAGTTATATATAAAATTTGCGTCCATATACGCGACACGACCTACCTCATGTTTCATGCGAAAAAATGTCGGGAAAATTTAGAATGCAGTTAACATGCACCTGAGAATGCCTTTCTTGTCACTTCTACATAAACAAGCTTACAATAGTATTTCATTGGTTTCCGCATGATTTTATCTATTTTTATTAAATGGGCGGGCTCTACGTAACCTCAATTAACGCAAATATTTTTCGTATAGGTTTTATATACAGCGATGGGTCAATCGTTCCGTTTTCGGCCAGATCTCACAGGCAAAAGTATTTTCTCACAACATAAATTATTTTAAACATCGCTAGGTGATTAAATCTTCTCGGTAACGAATCGCCACAAAACCAGACTATTCAATGGACTCGATGTTCAGTATAACAGAATCTTAGATACCGAGAATAATAGCGGCAACGTCTCAATGCTTCCTTTGTCTATTCTACGTTCAGCAAAACATTCTTCCATCTTCGCTCAACGATTGGTCGTCTCAATTCTCTCTTTAATTCTAGCGATTCAAGCATAGCTGCCGCTCCCGCCACTAACCAATCTACCAAGTGTCCCAGTCCTCTCTAAAAAAATAAAAGCCCATTACCGTTCTTCTTATCTTCATCATCATCATCAGTAGCAGCAGCAGCATCATCGTTTTATGACCACCATTGAGAGCGGGCTGACCACGATATGTAGTATTAATAGAAAGCACACACACACACGCAAACACACACACACACACACACGCAAACACACGCCGAATCGTTATACGGTGATAGAACGTAGAAATAAACAAAAAAGAAAAGAGTAAAAAAAGATAAAGATAGAATCGAGAGAACGTAGCAGCTGTGGAAGCTAAAGAATTTGGGTAGCGGGGTCAAGTGACTGTGATCCTTGCGTTGGTAGTAGGTGACTGCTTGACTCACTGGGCTGACCCGTCTTTTAGCTGGCAGCGTAACATACATGTAGATTTTGGTTCACGAGGAAACTAAAAGCACCAGCGGCATTTATGTGGCGACGAACAGCTCCGACAAACTCAGCGAAATGTATAAATTAATTTATCATGGGTACGTTTATAATGATTGCGCTATGCATAAGAAACGACTCAGAAAATTGTAGCTAGCAAATAAAAAAAAAAACAACAAAAACGAAGGCATGACTGACTGGACCAATTCGGTGTTACGCAGGTTCATAGAACATAGAGAAAGAAGCTAAAACTAATCATTATAACGTTTATGATAATGATAATAATTTCAAAAAAGTAATAATATTACAAATGCTAGAAAAATTCGTACTGCTGCCAACATCATCGCCCTTATTAGCAGAAGATAGCTTGAAAGCAGAACGAAGATGCAGAATGCCGTGTTGATGAAACACGCAACCAAAGTTAATCGTCTACGATGAACTTAAAGCTCATCGTAGACGATTCTCGTCTGTTGGACCAGGTGTCAGCAATTGTACTTCAACTCCAGTGACCTACAATTAAATCCATCGATATTAAAAACGGAAGCTCAAGCTTTTTTTAGCTCTATTTTTACGACCACTTGGCGATAAGGTTTCTTCTAGAACAGAGTTTATTTTCGGCGGCCACTTTTCAACTTACTCTCAAGTAGTTCACGCCTCCTTAACGGCAGGATGCTATGATTCCTTTAGGCAGACTTCAGTCATAGTTTACCCCAGTGTAATCAAACATCACGATTAATCTTATTCACTGATCATAATCGTATTGATACACAGAACTCTAACCTAGTTCAGTGAGTAAAAAACGCTGCCATTTTTTCTAAAGCAAAGCCTCTTGGCGCCACCAGTGAGAAGATACCGAAGAAAAGTCGCCTGCTCTAGAACTATCAAAGGTCAAACTTAAGATTTGCCGAAACAGTTGGCCAATAGGAAATGAATCTTCAAGAGATTCAGCTCAGTCTTCTAACGTTGCGAATGGGGAAACGCGCGTCGACACACTGACTTTAGCAGAGGCTCATACGCGTAACGCGTTGATGCAATGAAGCTCTACATTGTAATGACGTGCATTGTTCCCAGTTCCCCGAAGCGTATAAGTAGGACCGATGCGTGCTTATTCTTGTCTCAACTCTCTAAACATATATTAGTTCTAGCTGGTCTTTCACCTCTCTGTTAAGCAAAGGATTTGTTAGCTAACAACAAACTGTCGAGTTCGCTTTTCGATGTCTAACAGCTATAGGCCTTCGTCACCTGGCACATCATTGCTTGTTGGAATGATCCTCAATTTAGTGTCTATTTCCGCATTGATCATGCGAAAGTCTACTGTACCAGCCCTGATACGTATGTGCCTATCGTGCATCAAGTAGGACTTCTATCACTCCAGTGATATTCTACCACTCCACGTCCTGCGGATTAAAAGAACTTGCATTAATAAACTACGAAGTTAAATAGGACTGCCTAACTAATGTTTTCGTCACTTGTTATCTATACAAGTACAACAATATGCGTTGCCGCTCCCGATAGTAAATACCGCTCAGTATCAACATTTCGCTTATATTAACTATAGTGATCAAATTAGTATCAGTATTCTGTCTGCCAACGACAAATAGTGGGCACGCAGACATGTGTGTCGGCCGAAGTTTCCCTCGACCTTTTTCCACTGATACTCGTCCGGTTTTCACCCAATGAAAAGTCTGTGCGTTTTCAGGCGTGAATGGAAGATGGAGAAAGTTATTCTAGGAAATCCACCCCTTTGACATGGCGAAATACTAAGTATGTGTGCAGCATTAGTGATTAACTGCATAGAATAATAACTGTACGAACTGCTTTTAGTTTAACGTCAGAACTTGATTTTTGTGTCCCATGAACTTTGTATTTGGTCATTTGCAAAAATCATGTATGTACGATTTTGAGCTAACTGTAAAGATGTGAGCTAACACTAACAACAGCATACGGTCAAACGTGCGTGATTAAGCATTCAGTAGAGGATAAAGACATATAAGAAGACTGTTGACTCTAAGTTATTTGTAAAGTACGGTTTAGTATAAGGGTTTTGTTCTGTACGTAACTATCTGACGTTATGTTCCGGTCTTTTCTAAATTGTCAGTATATTTCTTGCTAGCCACATTGACGTTTACATGTTTACGTTCATGGTATCCAGCCGTTTTCTGTAGCTTCGAAGCCTTGCGGACGCAGTCTGATCGACACGCTTTCGATAGGGACGTTGTTTTTCAGCTAATCCTCTTTATACTAATCGTAACAAAAGTGATAGCAACGCGCCAGTGCCACAATGTTTCGTGACGAGTGACGTCTACGGCCTGTTGGGCTGATGCGTGACGGTTTCACCATCAAACAGCGCTTCTAATGTCCTTAGCACAGCTAGTTGATCAGAAATTCATTGAGAAGCGATGGTAAAATAACTATAACGGTCGCATCAGCAACACGCCACAGCTGCATAACGGAACTAATCACCTCGATACAATCCATTGACTCGCAAGCGTTCTCCATCTACATGGCGATCTCCTTTGTTACCAACATGTCATCATATAATACGATGACGGTGCAATCAACCCAACTTGTTTAGCTAATATGATTATTATTGCAGGCGTAGGTAGCTATCCGTATATCCGTTACACACACGGGCGTGATCGTAGTAACTCGTATGAAAAAACTATACATCTATGACGAATTAAAGAAGCCAGCGATACGCTTCCCCGAAAGAAAGTTTTATCTGAAAGTTGTAAGTGGTGTGCGTCATATGAGCAGACAACCAGCGTCCGCATGGCCTTCTCACTGATGGCGTAACAGGTTATTGAAAAAGCCAGTTACAGGAACTGTGAACGCGGAGATTTGATATCTGACGTTTTTTTTTCTGACTATTTTACAAAGTCTTCCACAGTAGCACAGTAGTTAAAAACGAGGTTTTCCATGGAGATGACGCGCCTCTGGTGTGATACAATTCAATGCTTCAGTAATATAGCTTGGCGAATCACATGTACTCTCCATTATCGCCGTTCAATAAGATCGGAACCCTGATGCTTTTGGTGCCGTCATTTCTTTGAGCTAATGCTGAATTGCCAGCAGCAAATCCTTATTTTAAGGTATTTTCCTTTTTATGATGTGATCAATCATCATAGCTAGCACCAATGAGAGTTGAATCGATACGACTAGTTAAACCCGGCTGCTGTGGTGCTAACAACGCACTTAATAGAATGGTGTTTGACGCAAACGTTGCTATTTAGAGATCAATATGCTTTTATTGATACTATTTATGTGGATTCTCTCTACCGTACCAGTTTACTAAAACACTAGGGTGGCACTCTCGACGTTTTTTCTACCCATTTAGATTTTTCGTTATCGAGCTATGTCACATAACACCAACAACAAAGGACGACATTTCTTAGACAAATTCAGTTAAAATATAGTCGTTCTTTTAAACGTAGTTTTTTTTTCCAGTTCCCGAGAGCAGCGTACATAAACGTTTCATGTGTTTAGCTTTCACATATGATGGGTACAGTATCGAAACCGCAATGATAATGCGGCAGCTTACTAAACGGAGAGGCTAAGTTCAAATCCTGCCCATGCGACACAGACCAGGATCTCTTTCTTTGGAGCCGCGACCCTCAGCGCCCCCCTATTATAGATCAGCGACTCTTACTGTAGTTCTTTGTACTTCTTACCCGACTACTATACTTTCCAGCCATTAAATTTTACATCAAAAGTAACAATAACGAAAACAACCTACTTGGGGTAGCTTTCGTCATCCATGACGCAGAAGTCCTGTTTCGAAGTCTGGCAGGTCTCGACGAGCGCCGTTGTCTTCTTGACGAGGTTGTATGGCGCAATGTCCCGCACCACGGCTCCCGGAACCACCGGTCCTGGATGATCGAGCGATCAGTACACGTGTCCTGCTCAGTCAACACCATCGCGAGGAGACCCCATTGCGAAATAGAGACGCCATCGCAGTAGCGCGTGCAGTGAACGAACGTCATGGCAGGTCAGCGTCAACGTGTTAGTTACCCCGCCCGGCTCCCAACAGGCACAAACAGCATAGTCATCCAACAAGCATAGCCACCAGAAAAAGACGTAGCAACGTATCTATCATACCTACATACGGCATCGAACGAACAACATATACCGCTGAATCCGTGTGAGTTGAAAACAAGGTTTAATACGATCTCACCACCATCATCTATTACAGAACTAAGTAAATCATGATTTCTGCAAACATTAATATCTATCTGACATTCAACGAGTTAGAACGCTCAATAGACAAACCTGTCCTAACAGCATAATTAAGAACGGACTTGAGTAATGGGCTCTAACTTAAGGCTAATAAAAAAAAAGTTACTGGCACTTACAGCAGCAACTATATTGCTACTGTGGCCAGCAACAATAACTTGCAGTTAGCACGAATGAGAACTAGCGACACAATCGAAGACAGGTAACTTGTTTTGATCTAGCCTTCTTTACGTATTCTTCTTTAGAATATTGTCATTTATCTAGAGTGACAATTGAAGCAAATAGACTATTAACGACTAAACAAATACGTTCATGTTTCCAGTGCCCGTAGTCTTCATTAATACACAATAGCCATCTCCGTCTTTGTTGGCGCGCACAAGGAAAAGCTTCAAAATATACTATTAATACACTGCTTTTGCGAGATCTTTCAGGATCATCAGACCTAACAGTACATTTTACGTCTGCCCAGCAGCTTCGATCCACGTTGAAACAGTGAGCATGCATTGCGCAAGATTCTGGCTCGTGAACAAATTCTTTAAACAACTACCACCGTGAAGTGGCGCATGATGCTAATGAGTATATGAATTTGGATGTTTGTCCGATGCTCGTCGATGCAGCAATGAAATTATTGGCACAACGGCACCATCTTCTCCTGACTTAATGCTGTAGTCCTATATTTTTCGCAAAGGCCACCGACTCTCCTTAGTTGACCCCCTGTAAAAGGGAGCTACGCCAAAAGAGACACAAATATCCGCGATCTGTTGGCCCAGCCAAACTATGGCCGAAGCCACTTCTGCTAAACGAATAGGAAGCATTAATGGCTTCTCTCGGCGACCGTAGCGCTGCGGCATCAACAGTTGCCGTTCTGTGTGCCTGTTGGGGCTAGCAAGTTTTCACCGCGAGAAAAAAGACGTTAAATGCGGCGTGAGGGTTCGATGATGGCGGAGTAGCGTGCATTTTATTATGAGCGAGCGGGCGTGCAGCAGCAGGAGCAACAGCATCAGCTACCTCGCTCAGTTATCGCGTCGTACCAATTGCCCCCTTTATGCGTTCATTTTTCCGTCGATCAAGTAATTTGCCGACCACCTAGTTAACCCCCCAGACTGGATCCAGTTAGTCAGCGGACCTCACATCTCAAAATTTGCTCTGAGGCGCCTGGCTTCTCCAATTCCCGTTTTCCATGTCGTTTCTCACGCGGCTTACTAAGACTGCCATTCAGCTCCTAAAGATGGATGGCCAGTGATACAAAGAAGGAAAAAAAAACAGAAAAAGAGATTGCTTTTGCTACAATTACGACCTATCGCTGTGCAACGGAAGACGCTGCTCAGCGCACGGCAGTTCAATGACGCTCTGAAAATGCTACTATTAGAAGACTGCCATCCTTTATCGTATCGCTCGTCCACTGATGGGATAATGCCAAGGAGCACAATGGCAATCATTTATATATATGTACATAAGGCGAGTAGACAGTTTTCTGAGGGCTGGTTTCGAGCATGAGATAAAGTGTGGCTACGCCCTAATGTGTCCTCAGCTCTGCAAGCAAACACATATAAACGTATACATTGTATACGTATGAGTTTACGTATCCGTATGCACAGTCAAATGTATTTGAGCAAAGTAACTAAAAGTTGGCCGAACGCAAGCGTTATTCGAAGCATCAGAAACCTTATCAGGTTTAATTAATATCATCGGCCACCGGCAGAATTTAGGACTGGAAGTGAACGTAATCCGTTGCGGTCTTGGGTTTAAAAAAGAAAAACGTTTGGCTAAATGCGTTTCGGTTACTTTGGTTTGTTTTGTTTGCGAATTGTGCCGGAATTGAAATTATTGCCAGTTAATGATTACGGCATTGACATAAATATTTCAAAAGCTGTTGAATTTAAGTGTATAAAAATGAACTTTAATAATAGCAGGTCAATATAACACCCAAAATTTGTATTCTTATCTCTACCGGTAACGGTTTGAGTCATCATGCAGTCTCCATGCCAGCCGACGCTACCGCGAAGCCGTTTGATGTATTGTAACAGAAACAATGAGAATGTTTACGTGGCGCTTTCGTCACATGCTTGTTGTTATTGCCGCGCTTTTTAAAACGAAAAAGATAGATAGCGTTTGGAGAGCCTATTGGCTGTGCAGGCTAAAGCCAATCACTTAATAAATAGAGTAACAGTGCCTTTGCAGCCTGGTGCGTTCAAAGCGATCGTAACGCATGCTTTCAGTGCTAAATGGTGGTAAACAAATAATTATTTGCCAAATCTAGCATATTATGGCTAAATTATAAAACGCAAGCGGAAGTATTATTATGGGCTTTTCAGAGTGGCCTGTGGGCGAATAGCTTAAATCGCACTAACAGCAGCGTCATATATATATTTATAATAAAGAAGAGAAGCAATGAAGAAGGGGAAGCAGAAAACAGGATAAAAGACCTATCTAGGGAAGTGTGTAGTATCAACAGCATCAGCAATAGTATTTATGCTAACAACAACAACAATGTCGATGGTTGACATAATGCAAACAGCCGCCGCTAGAATTTCGCAAATAACCAAGATGACTACAATTGAGATGGACGAAAAAAAATTCGGGTGAAGGTGGACAAGGAAACGTTTCTTAAACGAAAATAAGCTAAGGTGATGATGGAAGTCGAATAGACACATATTCCCATGGATACTTCCGTGTTATTGTGACGCTAAGAGCTTTTACAATTGCTACAGTTGTATTGATCATCTCACAGCAAAATGGCTAGCACCGTAAGTTCATGTTAAATCGGATCAACGCAGGGCGACAGTAAATAAAAGGTACCTCGATTTTTTACTTTCTTAAACTCAAGACGGACCCTCATAAAATCGGAATACCGGTAATAAGCAAGGCTACAACGGTCTACTACAAAACACTCGATGACGGCTGTGGCTCTGGAAAATCCGAATCTTTCGTGAATCTTCGCCGACGGACACATTATAACTTATTTTAAAACAGCCTGTTCAAAAACGTAGCGAGTGGTTTGATCTGTACGCGAGCACGACATCTAGGAAAATTCAGACGAGTAACTAAGCCAAATCCCATAAACAACTTCATTTATAGCGCAGAAATTATAAGAGACAAAGTGGTTGGACTACATAAGAGGGGAGAACAGTGACATTGTGCTAGCAGCCCGTACACTAGAGGAAAAAATCCATCGTATTTACCTACTATAGAAAGATAGAACGAGATGCAAATACGCCAGCGAATATCGCCACCATGCATCAAACCATAACATGGTAATTTTGGTTAAGTGATTGATAGAGGTGCAATGTCAAAGGCGTGCCTTTACGTGAAAAGCTAGAGCGGAAGTTTGCTAAGCACTAACCGGATATTCTTGGGGAACTGGCAGCTGGCTCCTCTTCAATAACAAATCCATTAGCAAAATGAACGTGCTTCTCAGATCGAACGGCAGGAGACGACAGTACGAAATTCGTCGCTGGCGAGGCCGCGGCGCTATTGATGCTCGTGCTACCCCCGCCGCCTCCATTGGTTGAGATTGGCACGAAACCGCCATATTCATATTTGGGGTTGCGCACATTAAGGGGCACCGATAGCGGTCGTGAGAGCGGGTTGTCATCGAACTGTAACGTTAATATTGTTCATTATCCCGCCATTTTTTAAATGCCTCCGTTTCTTTATTACTGTCTAATCTGAGCCTACTCAAATTGTGTCTAGCGTCCTTGAGCGTTGAGAGACACGCGTAATGTTAAGCACGTTAGTCTTCAACACAGAACGTAAAGAGAAATTATAGCTAAGATGGAGCAGAATTCAGGCGATGCTCTGGTTTACGTTCAAAAAAGTAAGTCTCGGTAAAAGACTAAAGCTGCATGATGGTGGCTTTCGTAGCAAGGCGGGCCGTTAGCCATACGGTTTGTTAAATACTGGTTGATTCATGGGTTTCCTAAAGGACGTGTGTGTGACCGTGCGGCTGTACGAACAGCGTCGTGTTGTTGTTACTGTTCGCTATACAGAATGACGTACCGGATTGCTAAAGCTTCGTGCGCTGACAACAGTTTCTGGACGCTGTTGCTTTTGCGTTTTGGTAACCTGGATAATCGGTTCGAGGCCGCTAGAGGGTTGAGGAATAGGAACAGAGGGCAACGGTGTGGGTGGCGTCAATGGTTTCACAGGCAATTGGCCTTCTTGCATTGGTCGACCGGTGATGATGCTATCTGATGGAGACGGAGATGAAGGCGTCGAAGCTGCTGGTGGACCAAAGTTGATAATGGTGCTCACAGCTTCTTTCCACAAGCAAAACAAGATATCAGCAAAAGTCAGTCAGATCGTCTGCATACGTATGTATACACAAGCCTTCGTAAGATGCAACAGGAGCGCACGATTAAAATTCTGGATAGCTAACAGTTGCAAACGGAGTCATTTTAACATGAATATGATGCGTAATTTAAGGTAATACCGGTGAAAACTCAGTTTCGATTTTCGTTCACCTAGAAACTCAGTTAGCGACAGCTTTGCTCGTTGACGACGACGACGACGAAGACAACGAAATGCTTGGCTCAATTATTGAATAGCTACAGATTCCTATAAGGATATTAATTAAATCAACTTTTTTTTTAACAAAATTAAAAGGGTTAGTTTAAAAAAAAAAGGCTAGTAGAATGTTACGTTTTATATGATGATTGCTCAGTTGGAGTCCCTCTATATGAGGAGGAACGGTAACGATCTGAGGAGGGGGTCCTGCCAAGGCCCGAGATGAGGACAACTGTCGTGAAATTGTGTCGTCGTTGCCATCGACTCCTACAGACATTTGCTGCTGCTGCTGCTGTTGAGGCTTCTTAATAGGAAATGATAGAACCAAGCCGCTTCTTCGCTGAAGTTGGGCCGCGTTATTGTTGTTGTTCTTGTTGAATGATGGAATCGGGAAAGGTAGTTGGCTTGGGGGCCGTTTCAGAATGGCCTGCGCCCGAGAGGCGAGAGCATGGAGGTTTAGCCGGCCGGCGAATGCGCTGAGAGAGAGAGAGAGATCATACAAAATTACCGCGTATTTCATTTTTAATTTTACCACTTTCCACTTTTTTCGCTACTAACTGCATTTATCGTCGTGATAAATTCAATAGAATGTTGTACTAATGTGTAAATGCACAATTATTAAGAACGAGGTTTGCTAAACGGTCACAGGCTCTAGATCATCGACAGGTGTCACTCAGAACGAAAAACCAATTATTGATGTTAGTTTGCATTGCCATTGGTATATCGAAGACCGGGTTTTTAAAACGTTTTGCATCCATCTGCTCAGAGTTGCTATAACAAAGATGATTGGGTGCACTTTTGATTTGCCCCTAAAAACAACCGCTATCCTGAATATGGTGGCCTACCAGGATCTCTGGGTTCTTATGTAGAAAAAGCTTAATTAATGAAAGTGATGATGTAAATGATGTGCATCCTATTATAGTTAATTAGAGATACTTCATCATTTGAACGTAGTTATGCTCATTGGACGTGACTGACAGGGCTTAGCAGCAGAAGAATCAATAGGTTTATGTTGTGCAAAACGTACTGAGGAAAGCACTTTATTTTACTATCTATGAAGACCAATTTTACAGGTAAGCAAACTAACGACCCTGAACAAGTACACAGTGAAAATGAACCTGAATTAAATACTAAATGCGCCTACATATATGAGCTCTTAGAATGGTTCGCGCATATATATGTCAGCTGCATAAGCACCAACACGTGTGTTCTCGAGTTGCCAGATATTAATAGACAGCACCCATCCCGGACAAATGTTGCCCCAAGAAGTTACCTGTTCGCAAGTCCTGGATGGTTAGCGATAAGGGAAGAGGTGTGCAGCGTTGCCAAGGACGCTGGGCTGGGTAAATTGTGCGCGTGTATTCCATGCCTTGCGAGAGCATCCTTGATATGCTGTGGTGCTCGATGATACAGTTCTAGAATCTGCTCCCTTGTTGGAAGAGATAGTACGGATTCGAGAAGCACAACCGTAACCATATATATACACGTGAAACGCCGTACCAGGTCCGATATCAGCATCTGCAAGGACAAATGAAAACAATTAAATTTCATGCATGATGAGCAACGTAAGCTTTTGTGCTTTAAAGTTGCATAAAATTGCCACGCTATCTACACTTTTGCTTTTAAACTGTACTGATAGAATGGTACTACAAGTTGATACAAGAACACTCTGACGAAAGGTTACGAACGCCACGGAACCTTTTAAACGTACTAACAATATAACTGATTGCGGTTATAACAACTATAATATCATTGAAATTACCTATAAAAAATACTAGTTGGGCATCTACTATTAGATATTTCGAAGCCCAAAAGCTCGCTTCTTTTTCTTGTGGTGTTATTTCGGATACGTCTGACCCGTTTAGACTCTCAGCCTGACGAGTCTGCCCCCATTCCAGCCCATGAACATTATATGCAACAATAGTAGAAACAGCGACATCGGGTAGTGACCTCTCCTAGATCCTATAATAACATGTGAGACTATGACTAGATGACCATACGATCTTTCCCATCTGGTGGATCTCACGTTATCTCGCAGTTCTCCTGAAATACGGCTATCGATGTCCGTAACGTTTCTAAATGAATCGATCTTGCTCGAAGAAAGAGGATGTTCGAGAGCGCGTCGACGAGATCCCTTGAGACAAACCCGAGACCGTTAGATCATTGATACCTATTGAGCAGGTATCGTCGCAGCCTATGGTATTTGAGTTTTCACGTAGGGCATAATGGCCGATAGCAAAAATGGAGAAGATTCCAAAGTCTGCCAATAACAGCGGTAGAAAATTGCATCGTGGACTTCCGTGCCGTCGACAGCATTAGCCGCCGCTGATGAGCTGCCTTTCTTTTGACGTTTTGCCTTCTGCATCTTTCTCAAGCTCGTCTAGAATTGGGATGTGCTAAAAACAAGGCGCATATAATATTGTTTTTTTTTTTTTTATTTAGAGTAAATACTTGTCTCCATTTAGCCTAGAAGGTTGACTTTTTCTTGCTTATGAATAATATGCAAAGTGAAGTATTTATCAATAAACATACTGAGAAAATCTCTAATTGTACATTATTATCGTCTATTAAATGATGAATTACAACGAGCGTTAAACGGATATAACTCCTTTACATCCACAGCGGTGTTATGTATGGGTTTTGCATTAAGCCATATTATAGTTAATAGTTACACTTATCCAGATTTTTATACTTGAGCGCATTAAACTTCAGCGCCGGAGGAAGGTATTGTAGAGTTAAACAGATCCGATTTAGTTCTCGTATGTAGATATTACATAAATCTATTTTTCTTTTTCCTTGTTAACAACAATGTGTATATGCAAAATTTTCTAGTTAACCGCGATCTTAAAACCTAACATATATGTATGATAGACTATTTCACTATATATCCACATCGAAGTACCGTTTCGATCTTCGTTTTTCCTGACTACCGTAACTATTTCGCTTACTTCAGATCTGTAGGAATCTATAAGAGTGCGAGTGTCCTGTAAACAATATTGAGACGATTATAAAAGTGGAGGGCTTAATGTCTTTGGCTAAGCATGTGGGATCCTTCCCCAAGGACTCCTACGCACTGAACCATGGCGCTTCATTCTAGTGGCTTTGCCAATGGGCAACCCATAGAGATAGACAAAATAAAAGAGACTTCATTCGTCTTGCTTCATCCTTGTAACTTAATCTGCGTCTTCAACTCGTTCGTTGGCTACTATGGCGCCTTTTCCTCTCTCCTGTTATTTCACGCCAATTTTAGCTGTTCAGAAACCTCTTTTCCACCCGGCATCCACTCTGAGAGGGTTCCTTATTTTCGGACTTCTTCCCTCGCCTATGCGCTATCAGCCATTATCTCTCTTTCGAAAGATCCATATAGTTGTGTTCAGAATCAAGTACGCGAGCGACAACTAAGCAAAGATTTTGATCGAAGGATAGCCATACGTCCGACCCAGTAATAATCCCAAGTTAGAAGAAATAGGACATTTGACTCTGCATGAACTGCAATAAAAACCTCTGTCGTATGACCGCTTGTTATTATTCCTTTAGTTGTTTGTTGATGTTAAGCCTCGTGCCAAAGCTTTATTAGGAACACGTCTTTTTGTCGAACGGGCCAACGCTGTTAATTTGGGCATCGTCGCCGTGTTGGTGATTCTGAATTCTTCTATTTGTGTAAGCTAGTAATAAGGCTGATCGACTAATTTCAATTGTTGAACCTCTACACATTTGTTTAATGATTGTGTACCAATGAATTTCCTCTTTTCTTATTTTTTACTCTTCGACCCTTTTTATAATATGACGACACTGTCGGTCTCTCCTTTGAACATAGCATTCGCCCCCTGCGCAGGGTTAGTCTAGAATCGCTTCTTGACTTGCATATGCAGAGTCTGCCGTTTAAGAAGTAGCTTCAAGATACCCGACATGCATCAATATACAAAAAGGCATTCAACAGATGCCGATCGCCCCATCCTGCGCAATACCCGTTGCTTTTTGCCTTTAGATCTAAATAATGGTAGCTATACGAGTGACGCAGCGGTACAGAATAATCTAACGGGAGAAAATGCCAGAGGCGGTCCTCATCGAGTGAGAGGCTGCATGCAGAGGAACGGATGATGCATCCAGGACACTATGGTATGGAAATCGTTAAAAAGTAAATAAATTGTTCTCAAGACACATAAAGCCTTACTGTGTTTTTGGCAAACATTGTCTTTAGGTTTCGTGCTATTCAGTATTATCCAAAAATATTTCTGGTATTCAAAAAAATTTATGGTTTTTTTTTAATAGGAGAGGTTTGAGCTTATGGGGGCGATTAGGGGAGACAAGTGTTGCGAGGGGAGAGTGTTTCCTCGCACTACAGTACATGCCATATCGTGTACAATATTACATTACGTGTTTATGTGGCACCTATCCTTACGATTTTTTGATACATCATAAGGTGGCTTACCATTACTATGGGTCATATGATAACGATAAGTGGAAAGGAAGTGGAAACTATACCACTCTTTATGCAGCTGGTTCATTGCCTATATTATTTTTCCTACATATTCTGCTATGATCCTTTATCCAATATCGTGAACTCGAAAGCTGACATTTGTCTTCCATGCTGTAATTACACAAGAGTAAAATATGCCTGCCTTTAACTTTGTTGTTAACTTATACGTAGCGTTTACAATGCAATATTTCCGTTGACCCTTAGCGGCTGTGTATGTATATTCAGTACATACTTAAGCATTGATACGACAAACAGGCACTCAGTAGCGCCTATGGTTAATATGTTGTTTGTGATAATAGCTGATCGCGTAGAGTTAATCATTTGAAAGCATTGATCGTTTCCTTTTTGTGGGCTGCGATATACTACAATGAAGTAGACTTGGGCCGAAGGATTCCACTCGATAAGTCTCGAAAAAAGGACAGAGTAAGATAGACTGCCTCGCAACTATTGGGAAAGCAAGGAGGCGCTGATGTCCGATTAAAGAGAACAATAGATTACGAATGTTTAAAGATTACTATAGTATTTGATAGACTAGAGCAGTCAGAAACGCTTGATATTCTTAAACTAGGAAAGTCTAGATCGTCTAAATTTTGGGCATGGCTATTTTGATCCTATTCAGGCCCCGTTTTAATAGTCCGTTGCTTCCTAAAAATCGTTAATCACCTAGAGTACATCATGTCGTTTCCATTTTGATCTATTTCTTGAATGAACGGGAGGTTTGTTGCTTGTTTCCACAGAAGTTCTAACAGTTCCTTTTTGGATTTGCCATAAATAGTCACATCATAATCTCGATTTTTCTAGTCGACGTGGATACAATATGCGTCTGTTGCCATTATAGCACCGAGAATTTGACAAATGACTCCAAAAGATAATTAATGGCGGCATCTTATCTACGCACTTCGTCACTCTAGGTAGGGTCACACCGGGCTAGGGTGACTCCTGCACGTAAAGCGGTCAGCATTATAACTAAGTCAGTACTATTCAGATAAAAACTTGATTTGGTTTTCGCGTGCTTGGTCAAAGGGTAGTTGATTGATTTCGTAGTGCCTTTTTTTGGGGCTATTTTTCTTCACGGGGTGCTCCCTTCTCCCCCGTATGATTCGCTACAGTTTCAAATTCAATAAGCCCAAAAAAAACAGCAGTTGTCTACAAATTCTAGCGAGAAATAGACCGACCCTATTTCTGTTGCGATGAAATCGCTTTACTTAATTATAAAAGCACATGTAAAAAAACGGATAAAAAAAATCGGCTAACCAAAATCAAAGCTCATCAAGCCAAGTTCGTTTACAAGACCAAAGGGTTCAGTTTAAGGTTGAAACGAGCGTATGTTTGCATGCGCGTGTATGGCCGTACTTCATAAAAGTGATGGATCAATCGTTAAGTCATGAAATAGTTACCCTCTACTTTCAAATGTGTTGCACAGCTAACGAGTTGCGCTCGGTCTGCATTAACTACTGCAGCTCATTTCTACTACATATATGGTTAGGGATTATCGTATTTATCAAAGATAGCAAAGGGATCGACATTACTTTCAAAAGTTCTGAGACGCAAACTGTTTATAGCGGCGCAATATGTCGATAGGAGGTCAAGCAGCTCAGACACCTATTCCTTCATATGTATGTACGAAATACAGACGGGGTGGGACAAACACAAATTCGAAAAAGACTTGACAAATATATACTGTATATTTATAACATACATACGTACCGTATGCATGTTTTCTATACTAAAGTAAAACAGGGACGCTCAAATGATCAAGAAGCTTTCTACTCTATATATGTATGTACATCAAAACTGCACACTATAAGATAAAAACATCAGCACGAGTTCTAGAGCAATAAAAAGAAAACTTGTGTCAGCGAAATATACATATAAATTAAAACGGAAGACATCATTTCCGTTAGCCGCTTCGTCTTGTCCGCGACTTTGGCGCATGAACTCTCGTATGCGAGGAACGCTTTGCCTCTGCTGCTCTTGTCACTATAGTTTTGCCTCCTGCGGTAACGCATCGTTGTCTTAAATTTTTAATCTTATATGG